TGGGCAAGACACTCACCACTATTGTTGATGGTTCTGGAAAAGTGGAAGAGGACTCTGCCTCTAGAAAGTCATTGACTATCCTAGATGTAAGGAATGGTTAAGTAGATAAGATAAATTCTTCCAAGTGTGTCTGTGTGAAGAATTAGAATATCTTATATCGCATTCCCATATTATTATTGGATGCTTGAGAAAAATATGAATTTTCTATATCCAAGCTAAATAACCCATAAATATTTTAATTAGAGAATCAGAATAAATAGATCTGATTTATGTGGGTAAACTTGATGGAAAAGACAATAAACAATTTATTGCTCTTTAGAGTGCTCTGATTGTCAGACTAGTTATTTGAAATGGTTTGAAATGCCTAATTGCATTATGATTGCACTGATTATTCGATATGTGGCATGCATGTGGTAGCGTTAGAAAATCAGTGTAACATGATAACTAGAAGAGCATATGAGTGTGTTTTATGTTGTTAACAATAAAAACACATAGTTCCTATGAAACGAAATACTCATGTTGTTGTGAAATCCATTAATGCCAAGAAACTTCCATTTTAAATCAAGAAATAGTGGGGGTAGTGTCCTGCCTACTATTAGAAATAATGGAACTAGTAGGGGTAATAAATCTGAGTTTAAACTCAGAAGAAGCAAATGAACCTGAAATCTCTTAAGGTTTTTGGTTATGAATTTGTTATTTACACCCTAAGAAAGAAATATCCTACAAGTCTGCTAGAAGTTCGAACTTCCATAAAGATGCAGAATTGTGGGAGAATCCATTATTAACGAAATGGAATTATTAGTCTAATAAGACTTAAAATCTTGTAGAGTTACCTCTTGGTTGAAAAGCCTTGGGTAATATATCGATAGAATCGAACAATATTTGGTATTTTTGAGAATTACCTCTTGGCAATGAAGTCATGGGTAATAAATGGATTCTTAAAAGAAAAGTGAAACCTATTGGTTTAGTTTATGAGTATAAGGATCGCCTAATAGCTAAGGCTTTAAGCGAAAAGGAAAAATTGTTAATTTTCTTGTTATCTATTCACCATATGTAGAATAACATCCATGTATGTTCTGATTGCTAGTGTTGTGCGTCAGATGGATTGTTAAACATGTTTCTGTGAATGGTGATTTAGATAGGAAAATCTACATGGGACAACCTATAGGGTTGTTATTCTTGAACATGCTTAGGGAGTCTATAGTTAGACAAATCATTGTAAGATTTGAAATGGACTCTAAGACAATGGCATGAATAAACTGGTTCTCTCTCATGGTTTTAAAAGTGAAAGTGACAAGTGCATTTAGTACAACTTTGAGAATGACACTTGCATTATGAATGACACTTCGGTCTTTGGTACAAAGACTCGTGATGTCAATATTATGAAAAACCATGTTGTTTGAGAATTATGAAGGTAAAAAGATGTCAATATTATGAAAAACCATGTTGTTTGAGAATTATGAAGGTAAAAAGATCTGGATGAAGCAAGTGTTATGCTCGGAGATCCAGATTACTAGGACAATGAAAGAGATTTCATCTAGGTCAGTTTAACTACACAGTTAGATCTAGAGGAAATACGAGTTCTACACCTTCATAAATGTTTGATGGTGCTAGTGTAAATTTTAAGAGCACCAAAGACGGTGTAAGAAAGTAAGAACATACTAGCATCGACAGTATGCGAGAGGCAGCTGATAAACATGAGACCCGACATAGTGGGGGTACTTGGCAGGCTTACTGATTGTCCTAGTATGAAGCATTGAAATGCTATTGAAAGGGGTAATGAGACACCTTAAAAGAACAGAAAAACCTTGGTATTTGTTATCAATGGTTTTGCTGTATTGGTAGGGTATAGTGATGTGGATTAGAATACCCTATAGAGGACTTCAAGACAACAAGAGGCTGTGTTTTAAACATCGATAGAGAAGCTATGTCTTGGAAGTCTAAGAAGTAAACGATCCTGGCTCAATCAACTAAGAAATCAGAAATGATAGAACTAGCAATGGCTAGTAAAGAGGAAAGTTGATTGAGAGGGTCACTACTAGAGATTCCCTTATGGGAAAGACCGATCCCTCCGGTAGTTGATTCATTGTGATAGCACCGCAGCTATTACTAAAGAAGGGAACCGGTTCTAGAATGAAAAGAGAGGACAAATTCGTCGTATGCACAGTACTGTAAGAGAACTCCTAACGATAGGAGTAGTGAGGGTGGATCATATAAGATCCGAACAGAATCTAGCTGATCCTTTGACGAAAGGATTACCTAGAGAGAAAGTCCAAAATACCACAAAGGGTATGAGACTTATGCCTACCGAACCATGGATTACAAGTGATGGTAACCCGACCCGATAGACTGGAGATCCCAAGAAACGGGTTCAATGGGTAATAACAAGTCATGAGTAATATTGAGAAAAGTTCATGCATAGTGAAGCATGAATCCCAAAGCCTTGGAGGTTGAGTACAACTCTTAATGAGATCTATACTCTATGTGGAGTGAAGTACTTTACTTTGGGGGTACTTCTGATAGACTCACCTATGTGAATGTGGGAGTGGGGCCGCTCCCTATGGAACTTTGGAGGCACAAAGTTTCTAGAGCGTTCACTAAACCGGGATAACGTGCATGGCCATTAACGCACGGCCTATGAGAGAATATCACTCAATGAAAAGATCTGGTGTGCTACATTGTCTGAGATAGGGTTCAAGACTACGAGTCACCCTTATGAAATCGGAAGTGTAACCACTACGCTAAGGTTCAAATCTTCGCGATACCTTAGCTTATGTCCGATCTTATGGAACTGTTGATGCTCAGAGATAGTTTCAAACTATTCAAGTGGGGGATTGTTGGGATGAATAGTTTTGAAAAACTATAAATGAAATTCCTAATTAATTATCCAGTATTTTCCCATAATACATAAATAAGATGGATAATTAATAAAAGGAATATCATGGAGATAATTAGGAATAATTATCTTAATAGATTATATTTTAATAATGGGAGTAATTATCTCCCTAATTAAAATATGACTTATTCCCAAAGAAAGAGGGAATATTCTGGGTTTTCTGCTCCTATAAATAGGAGAAGCCCCAGACCCTCTAAACACACCTCAGAAGAGCAGAAACACGATAGAGAGTGAATTCATAGAGCTCCGGTTTTCTGCACAAAACCGATGAGCAATAAATAAGAGTGGCTGTTTTATCCTGGAGGCGACCGGCTGATAGTCTGCTGTGCGAATAACGAGACAGTGCCGCGAACGTCTTAAAGAGAGCGACCTAGTCCGTGACTCAGCCAGATCGGTAACCCTATTTTCTGTTCGGTTTCTAACAGATTTCTCCTTTTCAATAATAAAACAAATCAATTCTCATAAAAGTCATGCTCTCTCAATCTTGCGCGGCATTGCCGTGCATGCAATTGCTAGTCTCTATAAAAGCCCTGCTCTCTCAAGCTCGTTAATTATACATGGCAGCAGCATAGTCCTAGAATTGGTTGAGATAGGCCTGGACTGGCCAACTGGGCTCGGGTTGGGAGTATTGGGATGGGAACAAGGTCTAGATTTCAGATTTTGACTAATTGAAATTGAATAAATCGTGATGGGTATTACGCGTTACCTATACTATCCAAACGGATATTAGTGGATAACTCGTTGGTACCCAATGTTGAAATTCTTAATCACAAGTCTCATCCCGTAATAAATATTATGGGTATTTGAGTACCCATAACCATAAAAAACGGGATATGTATGAATATACCCAAATACCCGTTTTCCATTGCCTACCCTTTCAAAACTATTCTTTCATTGAGACTTGTACCTTTCAAAACTATTCATTTTCATTTCCAAAATCTTAGGGCAGACAATGGGACCCGAGAGACTAGAATTTCAAGTAAGCTTTATTTCAGTTTCTTTAGTCTTAAAAAAAAAAGTAACTTTTGAACATGTTTCCAATAACCCTTTATTATTATGACTTTATGTTCTCCCAACGCTGGATTCTGGATATGCTAAATTATGATTTCTCCTCACGTTATATTTAATGAGAATTATACTTCGTTATCTTTTTCGCTCTAATCACCATTTTCTACAGGAAGTCCACCACCTATTTTTTGTTCTCGACTACTACTGTCTTTTTTTTTTTTTTTTGCTATGCTCTGCACTCTATCCCACTATCTTAGCTCTCCAAAGAAAAAAATCCATCGGCAGATGAAATAGAATTGGTAGCACAGAAGGTTATCTACAATGTTTACATGGATGATGAAATTTGTTCCCTGTTGTGAAAGTAAGTCGATGCATGCATCCAACTTTTCTACAAATGATACACAGTTTCATACTATCCACTTGTGACATCTTTGAGCCTAATTATCACCTTGCTTTAGTAACATTTCATTCACTGATATAGCACAATGAGGCACCACTGGATGAATTTTAAACTAGAAAGAATGAGTCTCGGGCCAACCAAACTCAAATCATATCAGAACTCAAATGGAACATCCAACCAAAGGATCGGGTACAAAGCTATTACTTAGTTGTTTGACACTACCCACTCACAAAGTAAATATTCATACAATACGAACGCATAATAATGATTAAGTGGTCCAACCCAACCGCCCAACATTTTTGGAAGAAGCCATAATTTAATATTTCTGCTACCATTTCGTAATACACTTTTTACAAAATATTTGCCCTCTTTTTCAAACTTTATTTGCAAGCGGTAACAAAGTTTATATCTACGTTTACACAATGAGAAGGGGTCAAACGTAAAGAACACATAAGCAACTATGGAAGTGCAAATGTAAATGGACGTAACAGAATTCCAACATGTTGTCATACCAAAACATTATTCAAACTACGGTAGGTGAAGTGAGTTCTTAATCCTTCATACAAAACTCAAGCACAATGTACAACTTGCTTACTTGCTTTCAGGAAAAGGTATCGACGCACAACAACGATAGTACTCGTTAGCATCATACACAAATCGTTGTGAGAGATGAACTTCACTAATGAGATATTCGCCTCAGTCCTCGGCCCCGAATTGCTCAACGATGCCTCGTGCATCAAACGTGTTAATTTTCATCTTCATATTTTGATTCCTATGAATTTGGAAACATTAGTCAACAAAGTAGGCCAAAACAAGTGATAAATGAGGCGTTAAGAGGGTGAGTATTAGTAGTATCATTCATTACCCTTTCTTATGCCTCATGTTCATCGTTGTGGCATGCATCTGTTGACGACGACAACAACAACAACAAAACCCTTCAAATTAAACCGTATTTTTTTAGTGTTAACAAGTATGTATGATTTGAGATCATGGATACAGGTATTTGAATGTTGCTCTCACCAGGAACCTTTAACTGCTCTCTTGCATCTTTCTCCAGAACAAGTCCAGCATTGGCATACTCTTCGTGAATAACTTCTAAGAAGAGTTAAGGAAAGGCCTATTGCAGATAGTACGGGGTCAATATTATAACTAACTTCTAAACTTTAGAGTTACTAGCACATTGGTCACTCAACTTTCATCCTTTAACAAACTTATCATTACAGAGATTGAAATAAGTAACACAAGAGTCATTCCGTGCATCACCTGTTGAATTTCACACCCAATTTGTCTACAGATCAGTAGTATGTTGGTTATTCTAAACTTTAGTAAAACAGTGACCGATTTGTTTGTTTTTGTAGTTGACTTGACAATACATGCCAAAACTTTTCAATCGCCTTGCAGACTAGTTAGGGAACTGAATGAAATTAGACAATTGCAAACACAATATTTTTCGATACGACAAGCACGCAGAAGTCTGCCTTCAGTATCACATTCTTCGATCGTAGCATAAAGTACACAAGCTTTCGCCAAAGATCCCCTCATGCACAAGGGCGTAGCTAGAGGCCAATAAGGGGTGCAATGGCACCCCCTTAAATTTTGAAAAACAAAAAAAAAATGGTAATATTAGTATGTTGATAGTAATATTTACAAGTTGTTTGCTTCATGGATTTAAAAAATGAAAGTTTTGTTAAAACTTGGATTCTATAAAACTATGGATATACAAGGGTTTTGGGTTCATTCTGGACTTGGAAAATACCATTGTTTGTTTCATAAATTTCATGATATATTTAAACCACAAAAAGTATATAAGTTAATTTTATCCATTAATTGTCTACCCTAATACATTCTAGTTTATCAAAATTGATAAGAGGTGCAAAGAAAATCATTAAATTTTTATGATAACGATAGCTGGAAGAGAAAATTAGTTCCCATCAATGTATTTTCCTGTGAACATAGACTGTATTTGCTAATGTCAGTTGTCAATTCACAATTTGATAACATTTTATACAATGGCACAATTGACCAACCATCGCATCAAGTGAAATTGTGAATGGCTATTTGGTGGGATATATTAAGTGTGAAATAATGGTAGTTTGGACGATTCATATAGTTTTAGAATTATTTCACGATATGAAACATGAGACTGCTTATGTAATTTTCTTATTGCACCCCCTTAAATAAAATCCTAGCTACGCCACTACTCATGCGCTCCTGCATCACCATGAAAGGATTTTTATCCTTGTGAAAGGGTGCATGAGTATGGTACATATTATGTAGAAACATGTTTTAAAGACGATAAAGAGATTATTCATATTGAAGAAAATTAAAGAGTCACTTCATTCACCAGTCCCTTAAGTTTGATAGAGACGGGTCGATGATCCAAGGCCTCCAACACTTTTGAAGATATAGTCTATGATCCAACCATAAAAACCTACCATCAAACTATGCTAGATCACTCTGCAACTACCGCATCTTTAAAAGTTAGTACCTTCAAGGTCTCTGAAGCTGCATTGGCTCTCTCCTTGTTCCACAACTTCAACATGAGTACAGTCAAATGGAATGTCTGAGGTTTGATGAATATGGATTTGTCTATTTCTATATCACTCAAATGATGAGTTCGTAAGATTTTACACCAGTAACTAAACCAATACCCTTATCTTACTTCGACTCCTAAAATTAAGCAATAATAAAGCTGAACATACAAAGCATATTTGTGGAACTCGAATAAACGATCCAGAGATATATCCATATCATCTGCATGAGGGATCAATAAGCTCATGAAACCCTACCAGATGAAGAAGCAGATGTCGATGCTCTCTATTATGATAGTTACGGCTTGTAACTAACAAGAGGTATGCTCTTTAGATCCACTCTAACATTGCTTCCTTCATTAACTTTAAGTCCAACTGCAACATCTTCTCTTTTATTGGTTTCTTGATCCTTGACTTCATTGATGGATTCATCATTTTCCAGAACATAGTTCTGGAATTTAACTAGCTTACCAACCAATTCACGGTGTACAGCCAATGGAAGAGATACAAAGTGAGAGTAATCAGGATCGAGACTTCGAATTGCCTATTTAAAATATGAAAAAGGAGCAGTTGGAAAGAGAATGAACATACACTTGGCATAAATTGCAATAACCTCACAAACAAAAGTAACAATTATAACCATTAACATCCCACGAAGAAGAGCTAGGAGACGAACAACGAGAGGAAGAATGCCCAAGATAAATTTTTTAGAAAAGCATGGAGCAATAGGCACAAACAATAGTAGCCATATATTCTCCAATACAGGATGTTAGGAATTCAAGTAATTAAGTGATGACTTACAGTAGCACTGAAAATGAAAGCAGTGTTGGTACAATAACACAACTACATTTAAGACACATGGAACAAAATATGAAATGTAAGCATGGATGAAAGCCTTACTTTGACAGTTCGCCATATGGTAATACATACTTTGATAAAAATCTTTACTGTCATGCTTGGTTCATCTACCCTCGTGTGTTGATAAAAACCATAAGATGAATTTGTCCTTTAAAAAAGTACTTTTGCTGTCAAAATACTTAATGGAAGTAAATAAAAAGAACATAGAAAACCAGAACTAATAAATATAATAAAATTGATACGATATTTTTTTTTCTTATGATTCCCCAAGACCAAAAAGTCACCCCATCAAATGGGAAAAAATCCAATTGGATGGACATGAATTAACTAAACTTATGGTCAAATGTGGCTCAGAATAACAGGCAAGATAGAGAAACAAAAGCACCTATCACCGGAAAATACCACAAGTTCGCAAAAGTAATCAAAATGAAGGATTCATAGCGTTATAAAACACTTCACCAATCTCAGCTATGCTTAACTTTATTATATTATGCAAAACTTCTTTCCCACTTACCTGAATCTTTTTACACCGGCCACTTGATTCACTATGAGTGGATCATATGCATAAGAACATCATAATTGTGAGAACTATTCTTAATTAGCATTGTGACAGGGTAGACAAGTTCTATGGGGATTGGTCAACAACTTATCTCATCAAGAATTCCCTGAATCTTTTCTGAAGCACCAGTTACACAATCAATTGAAGGACCTTTAATAACGGCAGTAAATAGTATTTAGGAAAAAAATAATGTACAATACCATAGAATTTATTATCTATCTTTCATATGGTAAGAAAAAAACCCACAAGAACATGTATTTGTAATACCTTAGTTAAACACAAGAATAGTGAAAAATTACAAGGTTGACCAGGGTTGTCACGCCGGCCGGCGTGCCACCGGTTGTACCGGTCATAAAACCGGCGTGACACCACCGGTATGACCGGCATGATCGATATACGAATCTCTAAGTAAAATAACCTTATTTTAGTGACTTTAATTGTTAAAAATTATCTTATTATTTATTTTATGAGTATAAATGTTAAATATTGATATTATTTGTTGGATTCAAGTATAAATGTTTAGGTATTGACGTTAAATGTCATGTTTAAAATGAGTATTTATAATTTTATTTGTAATATTGACCGGCATGAACCAGCACAAACCGGTATGTGCCACCGGTCGAACCATTCCACTTGCTAAACCGGCACACTGGCATAAACCGGTTTGACAACCTTGAGGTTGACAGTTAATCAATGAATGTGCTATGGTGAGTGGTCGACTTGAGATTTTCTGAAGATCTTACCAACAAGTTCATCATCCTTTGATGCGAGAAATATTATCTTAACCCCCATCTCCTCTTCAATTGTTTCCTTTGCTGATCCTCTGGAAATGAAAACTTTAACCACTTTAGAAAATTGGCAATGTGAATATATAAGATGGCCTTATAAGCTCAATAGTCATACCTTTTTCCTCTAATAAATCGAATTAGAGAAGCACCTACCTGTATATCAACAAAGAGCAAATAAGTGAAAAATCTATGGAGACAATCTTCAACAGAATTGAACATGAAAAGCTCTTGAATCCAAATATAAGAAAATTTGACAGAAGAAGTACAAAGTTAAGGAGTAGTATCAAAAGTCCACCAAATTGAAGTACATTACGGATTTCCTAGTCAACCAGAATTCACTCTCTGGGAATTTCATTGACGAGAGAGAGAGAGAGAGAGAGAGAGAGAGAGAGAGAGAGAGAGAGAGAGAGCACAATAATGGGCAAAGTAATAATGTCAAAATTATCATGGTAGGAATATTTGGTCAATATGAAAACCGTATAAAATTGTAATGTACTTGAGATTAATCCAGAAACCTTGAACGATGAGAAAGGTCTTAATATGCAAAAATGGTTGGATTCATAATAGGATGATAGATCCCGCCTTACCTTAATTGATAATGAATCCTTTCCAGCAAACAATACTTTGAAAGCTCCAGCTTCAACATTTTCATGTAATATAGTAGCGGTGATAGTAGGATCAGCTACTGCAGTCACCACTTCAGCTCCAACTAAACTGTGTTCATCATTTGAGATAGGGCTACAAGTACCACAGTGCACTTCCTAAGTTCGGTCTTCATCTTGCAGCTAAAGATTCACATCTTTTATTAAGGATTCTGCAGATCCAAAGGTTGGAGTCTAGAGTTGTAAACTTAACCGATTCTTTTATATACTTCACAACAACATCAAAATTCAAAATGCATAAAAAAAACATTTAGCTTACCAGAGATCAAGCAATTGTTGGGGAGATTTTTCTTTTTTCACATAGTCCTGCTACATATCCAGAGGCAACTAGAGCATCCATGAAGTAAATAAACTTAAACCTTATAGAAGAAAAAAGAATCATAAATATCCTAGTAAAGAAAACTTCATCTTAAACAAACTGTATAAATTTATGGTAACATGCGATATGATGCATTTTAATTCAAGACTCTAGATTAAGCATATTGTTCATGCAGCTACAATCATGTACTCTTGCTGAGGTAACTAGTGAAAAAGACTTAAAACCTTAATTACAGTGGACACTAGCAGAGACTAGTCTCCACACAAACATATTTGATTTATGCTTTTTGTTTCTATCAATGGCAGCTAATTTATCCTTTCCCCCATTCATTCCACTGCCAAAGCTCGAGTAGTAACAAAAGCTCCGACCCTGCACAAATGATCAAATTAAAGTTAACTACATTGCTCCAGTATCCATCAAGACTCCACAACATCTAAAAACTCACAAAGTCAATAACTTTGCAATGATTTGGGATCGTAGAACCTGTAATTGGCATTACAGAAAGTCTTACTCTCTTCTTTAGTTTGTTTCATGTCAGTTTTCAAAGCAACAATCAGTTTATAAATATATATTGTGATATCATTACCAAGTTAATTAACTTCCATCACACTCTTGAGAATATTCAAATATTATACATGAACTTATAACACCAAAATCTTGTTTGATTCACTTAAAAACCTCATCATACTGAACTCTGGCTCGACCAATAACACTAACCTAGCAAAAGTCCCTTCTAGAATCGGCACACCAGACACAATCGAAGCAATATAGTAGGAATCATGAGCATAAAACTTCTCACTTAATCAACTAAACGCATGAAATGGAACCCATAACTAAACCTGAAAGCTACTGATCGGCTTCAATCTGCCATATGAATTGACGAATTTGAGGACATCGTAAACTCTGCAAACAAAAGAAGGAAACAATCCGATCAAATCTCATGGCCCAATGTTACAAGTTAACTCTGCATGGTTCAACAAATATTAAAAAAAAAAAACCCCTAAAGCGAAGGAAACCAGAGGCTTCCTTCAGAGTCGCATTACTGTGAAGGTTGATTAGGCTCCAGCTCGCAGACAGAGGCATTCATAGCCAACAATGATGATTCTACGGGAAGATTCATTATAGGTTTACCTTAGGGGAGAGCAAGGAGTGACCATTCTGCACGAGGTTGCTGCTTATCCATTATAGTGACTAAAGAGGAAAAAAGGTTTATGTTTGCCCGGGGACTTAGACGTTGTCTCTAAATGTAAATTTATTAATTTAATGGGTGTTTTTTTTTGTAAATTTGTGGTCCAGTAAAATAAAAGAATACTGAATTTTTCTTTTTGTTACTACACAAACAAAATTGAGAATTGCAATTACCGATTTCTCAGTAATTCCCTCTTCATAAAATACGTACTCATAGCTTATTTTTACTAGAGAAACAAGTCACATTGTTTTAATACTTGTGCCCTAATTTCTTACAAAATTCCAAGAGCCAATCGGTCAACTCAATCACAGCCTCATTGGTAGCCTTCATCGGTGGGGCGAGCCCTTGAGCATTGAATGCCTCATCACAGTAGCCGACGTTGGAGATGACCGCACTAAGCATGGTCTTAACTTCACTGGTGTTCTTGGGAGAGCACTTGGGGGTTGAACGAATGCACTTTTCACACGTGGCAGATGCCTTATCAAGGTTCCCTATGGCCTTATCATAATTCTCGAGGCACACGTCCAAGACACCACTGGCGGCGTTGTCTTGCCGCCTCACCTTGGTGGCGGCAGAGATCCCTTCTTGCACTAGGGTCTTGAGCGTTCCGATCTCGGTGTGAATGATCTCCGCCGGATCGTCGGAGCGAGAATCCCGGAAGAACTCCATGCACTTGGCGGGGTTCTCGGTCCCCGAGCAGAGCTCCTTGACCATGTCTGTTGCCTTGGTTATGGAGTTCTCTTGCATCTTGCGCTCGAATTTGGTGGAGAACATCGTAGGGAATGAAGGAAATGATGCATCTGGTGAGGGGGATGGAGCGGTGGTGGAGGAGGAAGAGGCGTCGTCAATGGAGATGGAAGGATCAGCGGTGGTGACCTCACTGGATGTTGGAGAAGATGAGCTTGTCGTGGTGAGGTCACTAGAGACACTACCTGAGGGAGCCGAAATGTCGGCTGGTTCCTTGTCTTGCATGAGAGCGTCAGAAGGTGACATGGCAGGACTCCCATTGGCAGAGGATGATGACGATAAGGATGGCGAGGCTGATGAGTCGTCGGTGGAGGAGGAAGAAGGAGAAGGAGCTATGTCTTGGGATATGGATATGGAGAGAAGAGAAGAAAGAGTGAGAGTGAAGATGAGAAGGAGTATTGTTGTTGTTGATTTGGTTGAAAGGTCCATCTTTGATATCTTTTCTTTTCGATCGTCTTTTTTTTTGGGAACGGTAAGGTCGATTGAAGGAAATGAGATTTATATAATGGAGGAGACAGTTAGGAGTGATTGGTTAAGAATTTAGACATTCTAAATTTGCAATCTTGTGTGTGCATGCATGGTTTTCTAAGGTTTTCTTTTGTAAAATTCATTGGCTTGAGAATTTTTTGTCGTTTCTTTTCAATATATTTCCACAAATGCGGGAGCTATGATTGAGGGGCTTTAATTAGGGCGCTTATTTTATGGATCGAGGCTTTAACCAACTCACTCGCAGGTTTGTTTTTGTTGTCCTCTCCCCTCCTCCCCTTCCAATCAAATTGATTCTATATTTTCCGAGTATGAACAGGCTGTAGATAGATAAACCAGAAAAGCTAATCTTGACCAAGGCAACTATCCTCTGGAAAGAAAGAAAAAAGATTGTTCACCTTAATTTCAATCTATAAAAGTTATTGTTTGACATACATTGTCTTGCTCTAAAAGGAGAACCCAAATATATATGTTCATCCTTCAATATCATTCCTCCCTCGTTGCAAACATAAGTTTTATACAAGTTCACTCTTGAACCAACATAGCCCAAAAGCACAAAAATTTGAATGTTTGACATACGTTATCATTAACACATATTGATACAAATATAATTATACATATGTTGTCCCTTATAACTTGGTCATTGTTTGGTCATTTGGGTTGAAACACCTTTATATAAGTTGATTTTATGCTAGATTGTGTGTTTCTGTCATATGTCAGATCCTAGTGTCGAGACGATCGGAGGTCAAAATGAGACAAGATGGTACGCTAGAGCAATGTCGACATTCAAAATCCAAGACGCGAGATTCCGAAAATGACCATGATACCTCAGCAATATCATGGCTTTACATGCAATGTCACGGCCTGATACATGATGTCACGGGCTGGGTTGGGACATTCATGGGTCACGACATGAGATAGGGTGTGACCAAATAAGTAAAACGTTACATTTTACAAGTCACGGTCATGACTGGAGTCGTGACATTGTAACACTCATACCTATTTGAAATCATTTTACAAAACCATCCTTCTCAACCCGTACACATTCTTGTTTAGTTTACAAACCAAACCATAATTTACAAAAAAAAAACTTTAAAACTTTTTAACCACATGACAGTAGAGCAGACCATATTCTCTCAAAATTACTTATAAATAAGGTCATGTTGGAGTTTGAGCCCACTGTCCCACCTCATTGCTGCCGAGCTGAGTTTTGTTGGATTTCCTTACTTCTAGTCAACAACTTCGGATTTGGGGAAAATTTTGTCGGGGTGAGACGTCACCTCAATGGGTAAAAACTAACCTAGAATCATAATTAACATAAATAAGGTATTGAGCAATCACAGTTAGCGTTATACCCTTCTTGTTCTCATTATACTAGTACCTCTATAAACATTCACCACTCACACATACACATATAGAACCAACATAAATTCAACAATAGTATCATACCCATTCAAACATCATCAATCGCCACATACACACATATAAAAATTGACTCACAACAAGCATATGCACATACAAGCATCCATCATCCACTCCGGCCTAGTCATGCACCATCATCTTCTTTCCCACCTCCTCCCCGTTGCTTAGGCTCCCCCACCTCCGCCTACCTAAAGCATCGGTGACTTCCTCCCATAGCCCGAGCAATCGGCACATAGCCGAATATATACACACAAAATCCTTACTGGGAACTTATCACATCATCATATTCTTCGGGTGCATGACTAACTCTTTAACACACACATGCAAAGGAACACACGGCCATATCACATCATATCAAATCCATAACCATTATCCACATCATATGCATCACCATTATTAATAACATAATTGTCATCAGTACGGAGGCCTTCATGCCTCTTTATACTCATCTCATCAACATTCTTATCATTATGCACATTGAGCTTCCCCTATCACTTAAATGCCCATGCATTAACATAGAAATCACACCACAACATCATCATATCATATTATCATTAACACATACTTAAACACACAACCACACTTTACCATAATTCAATTCGCTACTTCATATTTGAGCCGCTTCATGACCCAAATATCATGCTCGTATTAATTAAGTTACTGGGTTAGAATTTGTTAGAAACGGAACAACAACAAGAACGAGGTTATCGAATCTGGAGCTGAGTCGCGGACTAGATCGCTCTCTTCAACCCATGATCCATGACCTACTCTCTTGATCATAATTATAGGCCCGATTAGGTTTTCCCAAAATCCTTCATGACTCATTGTCCATCGTGGGATCAAAAGCCCACTATATCACCCATTCCATTTGTTAACAATTTATGTACCCAGCTTTAGATATCCTCAACTCAAAAACACATTGTTTTTTTATTGATGTTATTATTGGTAGTGATTTTCATGTATTGGTATTGTGGTAGTGATAGTGTTTTATGTTTTGGTATTGAATTTTTTTTACAATGATATTGATGTTTTTTCGAAGTGGTAATAGTTGTCTAACGGATTAGTATTGATTTGTTGTTTTTTTTACAGTGGTATTAGTTCGGCTGAACGGAGACAAAAAAAAAAGATGGAGAAAAATAAGGAAGGGAGATCTGGGTGGAAATTGCGAAAGTGAGAGAAAGAGAGAGAAAAATGTAATTAATATATATTTATGTAACTTCTTAATATGTAATTTATTAAAAAAATAATTAATACAATTTTTTTTATATCCAATTTGCCTCTAATAACCATTAGAGGTGGCAATTCTCAATCGACAATCCAATCCACCAACCCATTAAAAATATCCACCAATCCATTTAATCCAAATCCAATTAGATTGGTGGATTAATGGATTGATCCATGAATCCAAATGGCAAATTACGGTTTGGTACCTATAATTTTTATATTTTATATTTTGGTACCCAAATTTAAATTTTATACAAAAATATCATTGGAAAATTACGTTTTGGTGTCTACAATTTTTTATTATGACATTTTAATACCTAAACTTTTCACATTTTACATATTTGTCCTTGGTTGAGATGTCATTTGGATTCATGGATAATCCACCAATCCACTTGATCCAATTCATGAATCCACCAATCCATTTGATCCATGGATCCACTAATCCAATTCACCAATCTAGGGATAATCCATTTGCCACCACTATTAACCATGGTGAGCTAATAATCGTGAATATATGATTACTGAAACTTAGAGCATGCTTGTGATAGCATAAAAATTGATTGCATGTAACAACTTACAAAGAGAAAAGAAAAACAGAGGAAGCAAATCATTACCCATTTAATCAAATCTCCACCAGATTACACCTCCCTCTGTCTCTCTCAGAAGATTCCCTCCCCAGAAAATCAATTTTCCTTAATTCTTTTGTTCATACCAATATACCATTTCCCTTTTTAAAAAACTAACTAAATCATTGTAATAAATCCAGAACAACTTTGAGTATCAATTCATATCAATTCAGGTATGCACCAACTGAAGCATAATAATCAACTGAGTCCCAAAGCTCCCCACTCTTCTTCTTCCTCCACCGCCGCCGCCGCCAAGACCATGCTGGAGCGGGTCCTCTCTTCCCGCCGCTACGGCCCCCACTCCTCCGACGACCCACCGCCCTCCTCTTCCTCTACTTCCCCGGAAGGCCACGCCATTTCCTCCTTCGTCTCCGCCGACGAGTCCAAGACCAAGCCCCCCAACCTCTCTTCCTTGGCCTCCAATTACATCTCCAGGATGTCCCACTCTTCCTTCCACTGCGTCATCTTCGGCCTCCTCCTCTTTGTCCTCGCCCTCATCGCTTCGCTCATGTACCACTCTCGCTCCCTCGTCTGCATCTCCCGCTTCGATCCCAAGTCCCGGGTCGGTTTTTTCGGGATCGACGGCCTTGAGTCCGACTTCGCCGCCCTCGGTGTCCCCTGGTGTAAGTGCCATCCCCTTTTCTTATGAATTCAGATCTGAGTGAGCTTTCGGGTGGGGAAAACGGAATCTCGTTTTCTTGATTTTGGTTGTATAGTTCAATTGCTGTTGATTTGTGATCTGGGGTTGTGATTGGTTGCTGAAAAAAATTTATTTATGGGTTGAGTAAGGATCGATAAATATTGAATTCGAACCAATGTCAGCTGCTATTTAAGTAGTTACGTGCCTGAATTAAAGTTTTCGACTTTCTTTGAAAAGAATGTTAGCTATGATGTTATTATCTAGATATATGGGCTAGGAATGCGCAGCTATGTTGCTCTTTGTGATCGGTTAGTTGAGTTCCCTGTTGTAATTGTTGTTGAATGTCACTCCTGTTTCTCTTTGGCAAAAGGCAGATCGAAACATGGTAAGACAGTTGACTGGACATCCAAGGATTTGGTCAAGGCCTTGGAAGAGTTCATACCAATTTATGAAACTCGGCCAATCAAAAACAACATGTACGGAATGGGTTTCGATCATAGCTTTGGGCTATGGTTTATGGCACGGTGGCTTAAGCCGGATCTTATGGTCGAGAGTGGTGCTTTCAAGGGTCATTCAACGTGGGTCCTTCGCCAAGCAATGCCAGAAACTCGAATCATTTCGCTTTCTCCAAGGCACCCTGAGAAGTACCTGAAGAAGGGTCCGGCTTATGTTGATGAAAACTGCACCTACTTTGCTGGAAAAGATTTTGTAGATTTTGGAAGTGTTGATTGGAAGAGTGTGATGAGTCAATATGGAATTACTGATCTTTCACGGGTCCTTGTCTTTTTCGACGACCATCAGAATGAACTGAAAAGGTATGGTGGACAAATCTACCTGGCCAGAGGTGTCTTTATTCCTTGGGTAGTATTTCATGTCACTTGAATTCTTCTGGATTGATTTCCTTTTCGGCAGGATAAAGCAGGCGCTGGATGCTGGGTTTCAACATCTGGTTTTTGAGGACAATTATGATACTGGAACTGGTGATCATTATTCGTTGAGGCAGATATGTGATCAGTCCTACATAAGAGGTACGGTAATTCTCACCTTTCAGCTGCTTTTACTTCACTCCAAACTGAAGAAATCTTGTTCATATTAGATATATATTGTTAGAGAATTTATATCAACAAAGAGAGAGTTCAAGTGATGATTTACTTTGTAGTCTCAGAGTGGACAGAACATTTGAGTTGATTATCCTTTGGAAGAATGGTTTGAATTGGAGCCGCGGCAACTGTTAGCTACTACCTTACCATTTCGTGTCTTCTGATAGAAATTGTTAATAGTAACTCACCAGAATCTCCTTTTCGTCTGTTCATGTATGTTCATTGATTTTCTTTTGTTTTGTGATAAGCAATGTGATATTTATGACTCGGTTCAGTGGAGGGTTCGTCATTTACGTAGGGCTATCATAATGACACCTATTTTCATCTGTTTCTAGGTGGTGGCCACAGTTGCTTCAGAGATAGCGATGAAGCCAGGATTAGGTCAAAGAGGAAGAAATTCTGGGAGAAGGCAGTAGATATAGATGAACTCTGTGGACAGAACGAGGCATGGTGGGGCGTCAGAGGATGGATGCGTGACAACTTCAACCACAGCAATAAGCCTATTTCCTACGAGGAACACTTCCAGAACAGCCGGTTTATCGAGTCGATACTCGACTTATACTGGGAGCTCCCACCGGTAGCCGGTCCTTCTCTCACGCATCAAACTCGTTATGATCCAGCTCGTGTTACCAATCCCATTGTTGAAGACGGGCGGTATGGATTGTTCCAGCGGCTGGGGTTGAGTAAGCTCGATAATTCTGTATTTAACGGTTACACCCAGATGGTGTACCTTCAAATCTCCGAACAACCTTAGAGCAGTTTTTTTTTTTCTGGGATGATTTTTTCTGTTAATTTTTGCAATAGTTGAAAGACTCGAAAGTTGTCCATACTAATATTCCCCTTTTTTCTCATATTAGCTGGTGGCCTGACTGAAGAGGATAGTACATAAGTGGTTTTGGTTTGCTCCAGTTTTTGTTTCTCATATCGGTTCAAAGTTCTGAACCACTCCACTTGTATTCCGTGGATTCCACTTGCACTTCGACTCGATCAGGTTATAGATTGATAATTTGTGTCACTTTCAGACTCGTTGGCTTGGGCTTCAAGTCAATTGAGTTACGGGTTAGTCAACTTGTGGGTTCATTGGATAACTGATCAATTGCATACAAATTTGATCACATGTTGCCGGTGGTTGAGTTTGGTTGGAGGAGGTCCTATTGCACAGGCTGAGCAGAGCATACTGGATCACGAATGCTGATGATGAAGTTATAGTTCTATTCAGTATATAAATCAATAAGGTCAAGTGTTGATCAGATTACAAATCGTGCAAGAGAATGACTATACACAAAAATCAACTTACTATTGAAAGAACATTCACCAAAACACAAACTTGCAGAAAACCCTCCTCCGGTTACCACTGTCAAGGAAAATTCCTAAGAATAGGATGACATTGAAACTTACTACATACATTAATACTTCATTCATATTTCCAAAAACCACAACTCCCAGAGAGCAAAAAAGAAAGCACTTTCACAACTACAAACAGTTTCCAGACTTCGGTATACTTCTGTTGGATGAAAAATCTGTGCTTCGCATCCTTTTGCGTGTTCTGTCCAATTTACATGCATTTCTCCGTTGCTCTTGTAGCTGCAACTGCATCAACTGCAGAAAGTAGTGGTACAAAATAAATCAATGCTTGATTATGGCCTTTCTCCATCGCTCCCAAAAGGAGTTGGTGCGGAAAATTAGAAATCAAATGGGACCTCAAGGCCATACCAAGTCCTATAGCGTCTGAACCTTTCATGATTCTGAGTCTCTTGCAGTTTTCTGTAAACATTCTGTGATCACAAAATGGCAACTAAATATCAGCAAATAAACATAAATTGGTTTCATTTCACTATATCATGGAATGAAATGGGAACATAAACAAATTCAACTTACTCCCATGGGACATCACCAACAAGCATCCAATCGACATCCTTATCTTCATACGTGAGAACATAGTCAGATCCATTCACAAGATTCCTCGATTGGCCTTCACACATTAAGCCATCTTTCCCCGGAGTCTCGTTCGAGGTACACTTCACTGAAACCAAGTTAATCCACAGAGAAGAAAGTTCTTCAGTATTTAAGCATATAGCTACTTAGTTAAGAGATTCAGGTAATGTCTTTCTAAGAGTGGTTGCTCAAGTTGAAGGCGGTTAACTCTAAAGGTGAGCTAAAGCATACATACCAAAGGTAAAGCTGCAGAACATCTTCTCAAGAGCAGTAGACAGATCTTTGTAGTTGGTAAAGGTTTTGAGGTCAACTTTCCTCAAGTATGGAGCGCCATCCAAGCTGACCTTCACATAGAAGCAACCAAATCCCAACTTGCCCCCTTCACCTTCTTCATTGTTCTTTGCTGAATTAGATGCCATGGTGTTCTTCCGGGATGAAGAGATAGGAGGCCATCCTACCACCTGTGCCCTGTCAAATTCACCAAGAAAACACCACAACATGGTGATTAACATCAAGTAATCAACAGAACAACATACAAGGGAGGCGTCTTCACCACAGATTAGTGCACGTCCATGAGAAAAATGACTGATCTTAGAATTCAATTCAGAACATGCAAATAGAGGCATCTTGAGTTTATTAGGTTCGACTTCGACCAAGCTTAGCATAAAAGGGTTGGCCCCGAACTAGTTAGCTTCACATATTTTGCCAATCAATACTAACCGCTTTATTTTGTTCATTGTTCCCTTCCAAAAGCAACCCTAGTTCCAAGATAGAAAAGGTAAAGTAAAAACTTACTTGGAAGCAGGAGCGCTACTGCCAATATGGTTATCCTGCTAACAGCATAAGCTGTTAGTATATACTAACACGATCGGATTTGAGGCCACGTAGGCGAGCCGCGATCGGACAGTGGAGGGAGAGAAGAGCAGCTTGTGGCTCGGCTGAACCAAGGCTCTTACTTTTTTTTTTTACAATTCAAAAAAACCCAATCTTTTCATTTATGTTTAATTTTCTTTTCTCTCTCCATAATTTCATTTTCCTTTCTCTCCCACTCTCCAAAACTGACTGCTCTCTTTTGTTCTTCTTCTTCTTCTTCTTCCTCTCTCTCTCCCAAATAATTCAAAATAGCTCTCGACAACGACGGGTGTGAGAAATACGACGCCGGCGACGAGAGCTACGGGCAGGAAGAAGACGGCGGTGCTTGGCAACGCCGGTAGCGGTGCTTGAAGGAAGACGAAGTCGGCCGAGCAAGAAGGAAGACATCGACGCCAGTAGCTCGAGGAAGACGACTACACCAGCTGCGAAGAGAATAAAGTTTTTGAGGTAAGCATCTTCCTTTCTCCTGATTCATTGACGGTGAAGGCGGATCTTTGAGGTAGGTGTTTTGGATCTGAGATTCATTGTTAGGGATCTGAGATTCTTGTCGGGGGATTTGAGATTCTATTTGGGGGATCTGAGATTCTTTTGATTTGGGGGATTTGGATTTCTTTCGATTTGGGGGATCTGGGATTTTCTGTGGCTGGATTACACATATTTGATTTAGGGTTTCATAGATTCGACTGGATCTGAGTTTTTTTTTTGCTTCGTTTTTTAGATCTCAGGTTCATTGTTGGGGATCTGGGATTCTTGTCGAGGGATTTGAGATTCGATTTGGGGGATCTGGGATTCTTTTGATTTGGGGGATTTGGATTTCTTTCGATATGGGGGATCTGGGGATTTTTTGTGGCTGGATTACATATATTTGATTTAGGGTTTCATAGATTCGACTGGATCTGAGTATTTTTTTTGCTTCATTTTTTGGATCTGAGATTCATTGTTAGGGATCTGGGATTCTTGTCGGGGGATTTGAGATTCGATTTGGGGGATCTGGGATTCTTTTGATTTGGGGGATTTGGATTTCTTTCGATTTGGGGGATCTGAGTTTTTTTGTGGCTGGGATTTCTTTCGATTTGGGTTTCTTTTGATTTGGGGGATTCATTTTTTGATGTCGATATTGTTTGGGGTTTCTGGATTTTGCTCGTTAATTTGATATTTTTTTACCTGGAAAATTGTTTAGCTGGCATGGGATACCATTTAGTTTAATGTGGATATTGTTTGGTGGTTGATTGTCCGGATATTGGTTATGTGATGCATAGATATTTGTATGCTAGGTCTGGATATTTTTATGCCCTGTATGGATATTAGTTCAATGATATTAGCTCTTTTCAGGAATTGTTTCTGGATTTTGCTCGTTAATTTGATATTTTTTTACCTCAAAAATTGTTTAGCTGGCATGGGATACCATTTAGTTTAATGTGGATATTGTTGGGTGGTTGATTGTCCGGATATTGGTTATGAGATGCATAGATATTTGTATGCTAGGTCTGGATATTTTTATGCCCTGTATGGATATTAGTTCAATGATATTAGTTCTTTTCAGAAATTGTTTTTGGATTTTGATCGTTAATTTGATATTTTTTTACCTCGAAAATTGTTTAGCTGGCATGGGATACCATTTAGTTTATTGTGGATATTGTATGGTGGTTGATTGTCAGGATATTGGTTATGCGATGCATAGATATTTGTATGCTAGGTCTGGATATTTTTATGCCCTGTATGGCTATTAGTTCAATGATATTAGATATTTTCAGGAATTGTGCAAGATGACAAAATTCAAAAGGTGTTCGATGCCAGCTCCTCCAAGAGAAGGGGAGGCGGAGACACATCACTGGCTCAATCCAGACGCATCATGCTGGGAAAACAAAGATTTTGACAACCTTGACCTAAATCAGGTACATAGATGTTGTCTTTACTTCTTAAGTGACATGGTTGCATATAGTAAACTAAATATTTTACAACACATGTAGCTTGCGGCAATGGACTCAATGGTTGAGAGCATGATCCAAATGTGGAGGGCTCGGGACGACGCGCTCAAAAAAATTATCAAGCGTCAGCAAGACAATAGTTGAACTATTGCTTTATCATTTCTTATATGGTTGTGCTTTTTCGGATTTGAAATTCTTGGATTGCCAAGTTGTAATGACATTAAATACTAGTTTTATCGCGATTTGTCTATCAAACGACTCTTTTTATTAAGAATTCGAGTTTTTATTCTGAAATATTATTTGCTCGTCGAAAACACATATCCACAAAACAAATATCCAAACCACTCAAACTAATATCCGACTGTCGCACTAACATCCGTTCTCCATTACAAATATCCATACTACCCATACTAATATCTCACCATCTCATACTAATATCTAATCATCCCGAAATTAATATTCTTACTTTCAAATTTTCATCAAAAAATAATATATATGTACACACTATTTCTTCATACTTGAAAACCAATGTAGATAAACATCCATGCAGAACAAAAATTCAAACCACCTAGACTAATATCCGAGTGTCGCATACTAATATCCACTCACCATCACAAATATCTACACCACCCAGACTAGTATCCCTTTGTCTCAGACTATTATCCAGTCATACCATAATTATTATCCTCACCATCATAGACAAATATCCACCACACACTGACTAATATCTTACCCCCGCAAACTAATATCCGACTACTCAAACAAATATCCACACATCACAAACTAATATCCTCCTATCAAATAGTTACCAAAAGTGCTAGATGCTTAAATAAACGTTGGATAACATCTTAATAGTTACCAAAAGTGCCCCATTAGAATATACAAACGTCCAAGAAAATTTCCGAAAACATGAACTAATATCACTTCAAACCAAAGCTAGACCCTAAACTCTTAACCCTCTTCCCAACACAAACCCTAAACCATAAAAACTATTGTTATTTAATGGACAGTTACCAAAAGTGTCTCATTAGAATATCTAAACTTCCCAGGAAAATATCCAAAAATATGACTAATGAACCATGAACCCTAAAACTAAAATGAATATCCAAACTACCGAGAAGAATATCCACACCACCCAGTCTAATATCCCACCGTCTTAGAAAAATATCATGTGATCCCAAAATTAAAATTATCCATATATAACATACTAATATCCATCACACACAGACTAATATCTTGTTGTTGTACATTAATCCGAATTGTTACAAAAAATGCTAGATGCTTAAATAAACAAAGGATCACATCGGAATAATTACCAAAAGTGCCCCAATAGAATATCCAAACGTCCCAAAAAAAATATCCGAAAACATTAACTAATGAACCCTAAACCCTAAAACTAAAAAAAAATATCCACACTACCCTGACAATATCCACACCACCCAGTCTAATATCCTTCTGTCTCAGAAGAATATCATGTGATCCCAAAATGGATATTATCACTATGACATAATAATATCCACCACATACTGACTAATATATGATAGTTGTAGACTAATCCGAATAGTTACCAAAAGTGCTAGATGCTTAAATAAACAAATGATCACATCGAAATAGTTACCAAAAGTTCCCATTAGAATATCCAAACTTCCTAGACAAATATCCGAAAGCACGAACTAATATCAATTCAACCAAAAGCTAATATCCGAACCACGTAAACTAATATCCATTCATTACAAACGACCACAAGACTAATAATTAAACCTTTAACCCTAAAAAAAATAATAAATCCTAAACCCTAACACTAACACCCTAATCACTTTACCAAAAAAAGCCCTATTAGAATATCCAAAAGTCCAAGAAAATTTTCGAAAACATGAACTAAATATCAATTCAAACCTAAGCTAGACCCTAAACCCTTAACATTAAACCGTAACACAAACCCTAAACCATAAAACTATTATTATTTAATGGGCCCTCGGCGGGCAGCCCTAACTAAGGTTGCAAGCCTTACATGTTAGGACTTCCTAGTGTGTTTAATTTCCTAGTGTGTTTAATTTGATGTAAGAAACAATATTCCAATCCTTCACAAATTGAAAACCTGAACCATAACCCTAAAACTTAAACTCTAAATTGGTATAATCAGTTTCGGGTGGTTGGGTTATTTTGGGGCTTGGTAAATATTAGTTTAATGATGGATATTGGTTTGCGAAGGAAGAATACTAGTTCATTTCAACAATGATGCAAAGTAATATCAACACAACAGAAAATAATATCGACTGAAAACAAATAAATATCCACACAAACAAACATACATAAATATCAAAGGGGGCCCATCAATTTTCGTTCTCTTTCCACTCATATCCATTCTCCCGCCCAAACTCAAGCCGGGCCCACCAGCCCACCACGCCACTTGCTCTGATCCGCCGCCGCCGCCACAAGCTGGGCCGGCTTCTACATATTGGCCCACCTACAGCTCACTTAAGTGAGCCACCACCAAGCCGCCTCTCCCCTCCGTTGGATGAAACATGGGCCGACGTGGCCCAAAATCCTGCTCTGTTAGTATCTGCTAACACTTTGAGCAGTTAGCATATTAACTTCTGCGCGCTACTGCTGCCATTCGTTCCAGAGGCTTTCTCTTGAGCACCAATGCAAACATCCTTCTTCTTCACGCTTCCTGAAGCACACGAATTCAAGGCATGCCCATATCTCTTACCCAAATCAACAGCCTCAGACTTCTTCTCGCATACAGAGAAACCCCATCTCTCAGAAGACCCGTTCATGGTGTCTGAAACCCCTCTATTGGCCCCTCACACCAGATTCTTCGCATCATTAATATCTTGAACAAGGAGATTGATTTTGTTGTTTTCTCTCAGGGGATAGCGAGCCCGGCAAGCCAAGTCTGAGCTGAGTTTCCTTGATGCTGTTGCTTCTTCTGTTGTCATCCCTTTCAGAGGAGGAGGAGGAGGAGGAGGAGGAAGAAGAGGAAGGAGAGGCGAGTTTTGCACGAGCTGGCTCCATTAACGGCGGCGGCGGAGGGGACGATAAGCCGCCTATGTAATCATGTTCCGCTGGTGGTGGTGGCGCAGAAAACATTCAGGGTCTTTGAATCGAGAAATGGAAGGGGAAAGGGAACAAGGATAGAGCTTTTTGGAAGCCTAGGAAAAGGGAAGAGGGCAAAATGGGTTAGCCAGAGCAGTAAGCAGAAAGAAAGGAAAGGAGGTGAGGGAAGAGGGAAATGGTCGCTGGGATAGGAAGCAATGGTGGGGAGCTGGTTGGGTTTTGTTGATGCAGAAAAAGAAGCTTTTGTCCCTCATTCTCTCTCTTTGGAGTTTCTACTGGCATAAATCAAGTACCTATAGTTTGGAAAGTTAACAAGTGATTCCCTCTCAGAGCGACTGTTCATCTGTCCATCAGAGCGACTGTTCTTCAGAAATTTGGGAGACGGCACTTCTCTCCTCTGTGAGAGTTTTTTCTTTGGAAAAAATCTCAAAATACTTTAATTATTAAAAACAATTCCCAAAATACAGTACTTATAAACTTATTTCCCAAAATACAGCAGTTTCAACATCATCGTTGTAGACCAAGACAGTGATGGCAATCACCGTTTTTGACCAAAACGGTGATAGCATCATCGCTTTTAACCAAAACAGTGATGCCATCACCGTTTTGGACAAAAACGGTGATGCTATCATCGCTGTGGACCAAAACAGTGATGCAATCACCGTTTTGGTCAAACGCGTGGATTGTACGACCGTTGATAAGGGACGCGGTGAAGAGATCTTCACAGTTGGATTGAAAAGCGGTGGATAGGCGCGGATCGCTGACGTGGACGCGCGCGGGCACTTCTCCGCTAATGACTAAAGCGGTGATAGCCCCGCTTTCCACGTCACCGATCAGCCCCACCCGCGCCTTCACCGCTGCCGTTCGATGCAGTGAGGCGCGGATTGTGGTTTTTCTCCACGATCCGACGCCTCACATGGCGCCACGTCACCGATCCAGGCCATCACCGCGTTTGTTGGACGCAGTGAATTCACTATGTTTCTTCGACACGGTGATTAATTCACAAGACTTTTCCAGCGCCCAAACACTATAAATACCCCTCCCCCCCTTCATTCCAAACCACACCACACATCTAATACTTCTTTCTCCCTCCATTATTTCACTCTAGTTTCGTTCTAAGTATGCTCTGTGGTTGCGGCTAAGTCCGATCTTCCGCATCAGAAAGAATTACTAGAGTTTTTGTTTTGTCGATACTCTCGCTAGCTTTTCGGCAAAAAATGGACGAAGAGGCTTTGAGAGTACGTAAATTAATTTTATTCTTTTGTGATTTTTTTTACATGTGTGCTACAATTTAAATTGAATTGATTTCATATTTTTTTATAGATGGGTGCTGAGATATACGACCCTCGATTGTATATCGATCCTGGCCCAAGGGATCGAAGGTATTTAACCGGGCAAGATCAACATCGCTTCCGTTCAATTTGGAACAATAATCCGGTAGACACACTAAAATTATTTCAATAGTTTTAAAGTTTTAATTTTGCTTTCTATTGACTGACAATATTGTGTTTTTTGTTTTGTAGGAATCACTTATTCCCATCAGTCATCGAGGGACATGTCGATTGCCCCGTTGGCATGATCGACTGCAGCCCTATCTAGAGAGGACGGGATTGCACATGCTGAGGCACTTTATGAGGCTTGATATTGACAACGATCTGCTGACGGCAATGGCAGAGCGATGGCACCCCGAGCTGCATACCTTCCACTTTCCCGAGGGTGAAATGACGATCACCCTCAAAGATGTTGCCATCCTCACCGGGCTCCCGATCACCGGAGATGCCATCATCGACAACTCGAAAAAACCGAAAGATGGTTGGGGGCCGTTGATTCAAGAGCGTTTGGGGTTCAACATGCCGACCACCACGCCCGTCGACGGGGTTGGGCATCCACCACTGAATGCGGGGCAAGTATCGGTCCTGTGGCTTGTTGACCACATCCAAATGGAGGTTAATGTAGGCCCGGACACTCCTGAAGATCAGGTGGAGCGGTATGCACGTGTCTACCTAATTGGTTTGGTTGGTGGATTTCTGTTCCCCGACAAGTCAAACCGGTGAATACAAGGCATGTGGTTAAATATGCTCCTCGGTGACTGGGACGAGATCGGGAAAAAAAGTTGGGGGTCGGCCGTCTTGGCTGGGATCTACCGAGAGTTGTGTACTTGCTCGAGGTTGGGAGCGAAACAAGCTGGTGGTGCGATGTTCATACTCCAACTCTGGGCATGGGAGCATCTTCCGTTTTTAGCACCTCGAGACCCTCGGGAATTCTGGTTGCCAGATGATGAGCTACGATTTGTAGCATATCCCCCATATGGTTTCAAGTAAGTTTAATTTAAGTTTAATTTAAGTTTAATTTATTTTAGATATGCAATGGTAGTATTTTAGTGAATTTAGATCTATTCCAAGTAAGCGAATTTAGTGAATTTAGATCTATTCCAAGTAAGCGAATTTAGTGACATTTTAAGTCTACAGTTATAGTATTTTAGTGAACTTAGATATCTTTCAAGTAAGCAAATTTAGTGACATTTTAGGTATGCAATTATAGTATTTTAGTGAATTTAATTAGATATCTTCCAAGTTAGCAAATTTAGATTTATTCTAACCATATCGTATTTAGCTAATTTAGATTATTGCCAAGTAAGGAATTTTAGTTCAATTTAGATGCTTCCATACAATCATACTTAACAAGTAAACATCTATGCCATAAAAATTGCTTATATACATACTTTTGCTTAATTAGGTGGATCGGAACTTATACAAACGACCACCAGCCCGAACACTCTTTGCTGTTTTATCGTGCTGAATTTGATAAGCCTTGGTGGAACCAGGTAAAAATATAAAATTTCATCATTTTCAATTTTTTAGGTGGAGTGGATATAATTTGTACTAATTCCATGAACTATAATGATTGTAGGCGGTATGGGATCCATATCCAAATGAAGTGGTTGAGTTGCATCGTCTTAGACATCCCGAGGATGAAGAGACATGGTTGTGCAAGGTGCCCTTAATCTGCTTCCACATGGTGGAATGGCACCTGCCCGATCGATCTTTGAGGCAATATCGATTGGAGAAACAAATTCCAGCATCCCCACCTCAAGGGTTCAGGGAGCTCCACGCCATTGACCTACGCCACACCAAAAAGGATTGGGTCAAGAAGCATGAATTCTACATCAACATATGGGAGAATAGAAATCAGTGGGTGGTCCAAGGGTTGCCGGAGATGAGGCCAATGGGGTACCACGATGGCTACATGCGGTGGTATCGAAATTTCACGATAAGATGGGTGTCAAAGCAAGGTGCTGTTTAGGGCGCAGTGGTAAGTGAATTCTATTTTGTCCTTTTTGACTAAGTTTTGTGTAGTATGATTACATGCCTATATAAGCTAGAATGTTAATTAACATTATTAGATTTAAGGATGCCTCTTTGTCTTAATGTTAGTTAATTTTGTACAACAATTTATTAGGTTGACGGTTTGGAACATGCAAAGCACACTGTCGAGAGTGGTCCCACCATGGATGAGCGGAAGACATCTTTTTTGCGCAGGCTTTTCAACAACCTGCTCTGTTGTACTCGAGAGCAAAGGAGGGATGTCGTATTATACCCTCCAATGCTTGCACCGCCCCGACCTTCATTCCGTGCTGATGAGAGGATCGTGCCCCCACAAGAGCCCCCACGGAGGAGCAGAAGAAGGGTGAGAGAAAACATTGAAGAGCTTCGTCCGTCTCAACAAACTCAACTTCCTGAACCATGGCCACATTGTGAGTGGGCAACTAGTACTGAGGGCACCGGAGGGTCGTCAAGCTATGTCCCGACTCAGGAACATGACATGTTCACCCAAGGCACCCCTCACTTCCACCATCAGCAACAAACAGCTCAGTATCAGACCCCGCAACAACAACACACATCATCGACTTTCCACCACGCTTCTGGTTCATCTCAGCCATATCAACTCCCACCACCTGTCTACACTCCGGTGAGTGGTCGGGTTAAGAGGAATCCGCGAGCAGTTGTCCAGCGGGCTCGTGAAGAAGGAGGAGGTAGAGAAGGCGGAAGAAGGGGTCGAGGAGGTCGTGGAGGAAGAGGAAGAGGAAGAGGAAGAGAAGGGGAAGTGGAGGGAAATGAAGACAACCAGTGAACTATCTATGTCGTCTTAATTTGGTTTGAGATTGTGTTGTTTTCCATGAACTATCTATGTCGTCTTAATTTGGTTTGAGATTGTGTTGTTTTCCATTAACTATCTATGTCGTCTTAATTTGGTTTGGGATTGTGTTGTTTTCCATGAACTATCTATGTCGTCTTAATTTAGTTTGGGATTGTGTTGTTTTACCCCCCGTGTTGTACCAAAGTAAACAACAGACACCAGGATGGTCATCGTTACTAGAGGCGAATGGATAGCTCGACTCAGGATGGTCATCGTTACCAGCATAACCAACATCGTCTTGTTGGTCATGCGAAGAACGCCCAGATCGAAGGTTGTTCTCAATGTCAGCCCACTCTGGACCCCAAGCAGGCCATTGATCACCGCCGGGCTGAACGATATTGACGGCAGTCTCACCATGTTGCGGGTATTCTTCCCACCCAACACCTCCTTCATAACTAACTAACTAACTAACATCTATCATATCATAATTAATCTAAATATATCATAATATATTTTCCAATAACCGCAATTCACTAAATACAGACATATAATTACTAACACATCAACATGTAAACAATACATAATTATAACATACCGACTCCCGATCTATCATGAGAAAACTAAACAAATTCATCTAAATTCAGTACTAACTAACTAACATCTATCTATATCATAATTAATCTAAATATATGATAACATATTTTCCAATAACCGCAATTCACTAAATACAGACATATAAATTACTAACACATCAACATGTAAACATTACATAATTATAACATACCGAATCCCGACGAGTTTCTTGAGCAGTAAACCAACTCCAAACCAGCTGAGAAAACGACTAATAAAACACTAATTTTTGTACTAATTTTCTGTAAGGTAGCAAGAGGGGAAGTGGAGGTCAGTATTTATAGGAAAATTATTTAGCAATCACCGCTGAGGACAATGGCGGTGAACACATCACTGCTTTTGTCCAAAGTGGTGATAGCCAGGTCGCTGTGACCTAATTTCCCACCTACCAGGGCTCTAAAACGTGGTCGATTATCACCGTTTTGGTTAAAAGCGATGATATGATCGCTTTCGTCAACGGCGATGATAAGGTTGATTATCACCGTTTCGCACAAACGCGGAGATCTCATCACCGTTTTGGTTCAAAGCGATGATGCTATCACCGTTTTTGACCAAAACGGTGATTGCATCACTGTTTTGGTCCACAACAATGATAGCATCACCGTTTTGTCCAAAACGGTGATAACATCACTGTTTTGGTTAAAAGCGATGATGCTATCACCGTTTTGGTCAAAAACGGTGATTGCCATCACTGTCTTGGTCTACAACAGTGATGTTAAAACTGCTGTATTTTGGGAAATAAGTTTATAAGTACTGTATTTTGGGAATTTTTTTTAATAATTAGAGTATTTTGGGATTTTTTCCTTTTTCTTTCCTCTGCCCATCAGAGCGACTGTTCTTCTCCCGCCTCCTGCGGATTCAAAATCCTGACCTTCTTCTTGCATCCTATGAGATTAGTTTTACTGCTCTGTGTCAGTTATTCGATCTCCTCCCCATTCCTGCTCTTGATATCCCGCGGTTGGAGTTTCGTTGTCTTGCACCATCTACTGTTTTCCCTCTCAGAGTGACGTTTCGCCTCCCCGCCTATGGCAATTGAATATGATATCATAGACAAAATAGCAAGTGTAAGCTTAACAGAAGAAGAGGAAACTAGCATCAAGATAGAAGATTCTGATGAAGAGAAGGGCATTGAAGAAGTGATTACCGAACTTGGAGTAGCAGGGAAAATAATTACAGGTAGGCTTGGCTCGGCCAGGGTCATGAAGAACATACTAAAAGAGGTCTGGCAGCTGAAGAAAGATTTCGATGTCAGAATAAACCAGGAAGTTATTATGCTGATGCAATTCTATTGCTACGAAATCAGGGATATGATTCTCCTTGGAGGCCCTTGGCACTACGAGAAACAACTAATTGTGTTCAAGGAAATACCACCAGATCTACAAACGAAAGGAATCAACTTCTCAACAACGGAGATATGGATCCGGATCCGAAAACTCCCGCTGAAGCTTAGAAATAAGAACATGGCAACAAAAATTGGGGGAATGTTTGGTTCTTTCCTTAAGTGGGGCGAACTTCATTCTGGACGAGATAATGACTATCTGAGAATTCGAGTCTCTATCAACATCAAAAAGCCACTACGAAGATTCGTGAAGTTGTATGGTTCCTAGGGCCCCGTCTCGTATAAGGTAGCCTATGAGAAGCTGCCAATTTACTGCTACTATTGTGGAATCTTGGGCCACTTAAAGAATGGATGCCCGAAGAAGCTGGATGATCCATAAACCAAAATGAGAGAAGAATATGAAACATGGCTCCGAGCTGAATCCCCACTAAAAAGAATCGATATGAAGTTTAAAGAGGAGAAGAAGAGGTTGGACAACCTGTGGAATGAATTGAAAGAAGGGAAAATCACGAAAGGACCTCAAAGCAAAAGAGTGGAACAGAGAGAGAAGCATAATGAGGAGGAAGAACAATAAGGAAGGGAGTTGGCTGCGAACCTGGGAATAGATACTGGTCAGGAGGCTGAGTCGAGAGAGATCAGCACAAAGGAGCTTGTGAATGAACTACAAGTTATTAGTTTTAGAGAATCAAACTCACAAGAAGGCGAAGAAGAGAGAAAACTACCCTCATGGGAATAATGAAGACAATGATACTAATGGGGAAGAAGGGCACTACAATGTGAGTAAGAGTGCAGAAACGAATGATGCATCCCAGTTGGAAGAAAATAGAGAAAGACAGGTTGATCAGGAGGAAAGCCTTTCGGGGTATAAGCCAGGTACTAATCTAGCAGGCAGCAAAAAGTGGATTCGTCTGGAGAGGGAAAAAGCTGAGAGGACTGAAGGAGCTGAGGAGACAGTGGGCAGTAAGAGAGTGTATGACGATGGAGTTAAAGACATGGAAATCGACCCTCTTGCCTGTGGTGGAAAAAAGTTTAAACAGGATTCAAACCTAATAGCGGATGGCGAAGTGGCAGTCCTTGCCGAGGAGCAAGGCCGACGAGCCCAATGATGCTCATAAGTTACAACTGTCGAGGCCTGGGCCAAACCTCGGCAGTTGATGAGTTGAAGAGGCTCGTTGAAAAACAAAGACCAGATGTACTTTTCTTGATGGAGACTCGGTTGTCTAGTAAGGAATGGAGGAAGGTGAAATGGAAACTGGGTTTTAAAAAAGGTTGGGGGATCCCAGCTAGAGAAGATAATGGTATTAAGGCTGGAGGAATCTGCTTATTATGGAGAGAGGGTATTACTATCTCCTATTTCTCAAGCTCTACAAACTACTATGATGTGACTGTGGAGTACGAGGAGGAAGGACCAAAATGACGCTTTACTGGATTCTATGGGAACCCGAATAGAAGTGAAAGGCAGCAATCTTGGAACCAACTTTGAGGCCTGAAAGGAGCCAGTGACCTCCCTTGGTTATGTATGGGGGATTTCAACCAAGTGATGGCGGGGGATGAGAAGGAAGGAGGTCGACATATTAATGAAAACATGGTAATAAGTTTCTGTGATGTTTTGGAATTCTGTAGACTTATGGACTGTGGATTTATGGGATACCCTTTTACTTGGGACAATGGTCGAGGGGTAGCCAGATTTATAGAGGAAAGCACCTGGTTTGGATGGGTTCCCAGCTGGTTTTTACCAACAAAACTAGGATTCGATTGGGGGCCATGTCATGACTGCTATCCTAAAGTACCTTAATGAAGGATACCTTCCTCCCGAAGTCAACCACACACTGATAGTGCTCATTCCCAAGGTGAAAAAACCCACAATGGCTAAGGACTTTCGTCCTATTAGCCTTTGTAGGGTAATCTATAAAATTGCTTCAAAAGTCCTGGCCAACAGACTCAAGAGAGTTCTTAATGATTTAATCTCTAAAGAATAAAGTGCTTTCATCAAAGGTCGGTTTATTACTGACAACATTATTACTGCTTTTGAATGTTTTCAGTATTTGAAAAGGAAGACCAAAGGGAAAAGGGGCTTCTTTGCTGCCAAACTTGATATGACTAAAGCATACGATCGAGTTGAATGGGACTTTCTGGAGAAGGTGCTACGTAAGTTGGGTTTCAATGAGAACTGGATTAAACTGGTGATGATGTGTGTTAGGAGTGTTTCATACTCAATTCTTGTTAATGATCATCGCTCTCAAGATCTAAAACCATCAAGAGGTTTAAGGCAAGGCGACCCTCTTTCGCCCTACCTTTTTCTCATTTGTGCAGAAGGCTTCTCAGCCTTACTTAAGAAAGCGAAGAAGGATGGAAAAATCCATGGAATCAAGATTTGCCATAGGGCTCCGACCATCTCACACCTCCTATTTGCAGATGACAGTCTAGTGTTTGGTAGAGCTACTATCGAGGAATGTGAAGAACTGAAAAGAATTCTAAAAATCTATGAGAAGGAGTCAGGACAGAGTATTAACCTCACTAAATCTGAAGTGTCCTTTAGCAGGAATGTGAAATGGAGAAGAAGATTGGAAATCAGTGGTACGCTGGGGATCAAAGTTGTAGAGAAACATCAAAAGTATCTCCGGCTACCTACTGTTATTGGAAGATCTAAGAGGGAGGTGTTTGACGAGCTGAAAGAACGGGTTAGAAAGAAGCTAAAAGACTGGAAAAGCCTCACTTTGTCTGCTGCAGGTAAAGAGATACTGATAAAAGGAGTTTCTCAAGCACAACTGATTTATCCTATGATGGTGTTCCAAATCCCGGAAGGAATTCTTCAAGAGATTCAGAGCCTGATAGCCTGGTTCTGGTGGGAAAACATGATGAAAAGAGGATTCACTGGCTCAAATGGGAAGAGTTATGCCGTCCTAAGGAAGTTGGCGATCTTGGTTTCAAAGACCTGAGAACTGTCAATACCGCCATGCTTGGGAAACAAATATGGAATATTTTAAATCGGCCCAATTCACTGATGGCCAAGATCCTCAAAGCTCGTTACTTCCCTAGAGATGAATTGTTGAATGCCAAGACAGGGAGTAACCCTAGTTTCATATGGAGAAGCCTGGTCAAATCTAAGGATGAGATAGTGGATGGTTTTCGATGGAGAGTTGGGGGTGGTGAAAGTATCAAAGTTTGGGAGGATTGGTGGATTCCCAATATCAGGAAGCTATCACCAATTCAACAAAGCAACGAGCATGTTGATAACTTAAAGGTAAGCTCCCTCATTGACAGAGACAATGGATGGTGGTATCATTCTAAGCTTCAAACCCTATTCTCAGTTACTGACCAAACAGAAACCATGAAGATTAATTTGAGAAATCCCCCTACATGTAACATCCCGAACCTTTTCCCGACAAGATACTGTCCGCTTTGGGCCTCTACACCCGCACGGATTTCGACTTGAGGTGCAATTCAAGGTGACTTCCCATAAGGTCACCCATCCTTGTTGTACTCCACACTGAGCACGTTTAACTTCGGAGTTCTCACAAGAACTCTTCCTTTACACCCCAAAACGCGTCTTGTCAGTTAAGGCCGTTTCCTACTTATGAACCATGGATCTCTCCCGTGCTTTGTCGATGTGGGATTTGCCTAAGGTGTTACATACAGTCCCCCCCCCCCTTGGGACTCAACGCCCTCGTTGAGGTTTGCCCCTTCATCGTTCAAGAGGGACGCGGAGAGGCTCTGATACCACTTGTAACATCCCAAACCTTTTCCCGACCGCTTTGGGCCTCTACACCCGCACGGATTTTGACTTGGGGTGCAATTCAATGTGACTTCCCGTAAGGTCACCCATCCTTGTTGTACTCCACACTGAGCACGTTTAACTTCGAAGTTCTCACAAGAACTCTTCCATTACACCCCAAAACAAGTCTTGTCAGTTAAGGTCGGTTTCCTACTTATGAACCATGGATCTCTCCCGTGCTTTGTCGATGTGGGATTTTCCTAAGGTGTTACACTATAGAAGACTCAATTCTATGGTATGAAGCGGATAATGGTATCTATAACGTGAAATCGACATACAGGAAGCTATGGCAGAGAGAGTATTCGATGGCGGATGAAAGCAACATGGATGCCCAAAAAATCAGAAGCTACTGGAAGAGGATTTGGAATCTCCCCATTCAACCTAAAGTGAAAGTCTTCCTATATGGAGAATTAGCAGTGATATCTTACCTGTTGGGACCAACATTGAGAGCAGAATCGAAGAGGCCCCCTCTGAATGCCCATTCTGTGGACTTCCTGAAACTCAACTCCATTGCTTGAGAGAGTGCGAATGGACCGTCGTCTCTGGCAACCTTGCAGTGAAAGTGAAATCTTCAAACAGGGGGAAGGATTATCTGGTCGACTGGTTCCATAGAATCTTCGAGTCTCAGTCAAATGAAAGCCTCCAAAGGTTTTGCGCTATCTTATGGTTTATCTGGAAAGAAAGATGCAATCACATGTTCAATAACAAAAAATAGAGGTGGAGGAGATTATCCCAAAAGCGCTTGATTGGATCTCTGACACGCCAAAACACAACACCAAACTGCGACCAAGTGTAATCGCAGTCCGGGAATGCAGTAAAGTGGCAAGTTCTATTATCAACCCGGGGTCTAGATCTACTGCTTACTCCGTGATTATCTATTATCTAGCCAACTAAGTCAAGTGATTATTGTTTTAAGCAAAAGCAGTAAGAAAGCAAGAATTGGTTCGATTTTCTCAAGCAAAGAAGAGTCACTCGGGAATGAGTCCCCCTAGCTCCTTAGTTAGGTCTCAATTGTAATTACCCTGGGTTGATTTACTATTGATTAGACTGCGGAAGATCCGACAGTAGCTTGGAATCTCTTAAGCTGACCAAGCCCTCTCAGTCTAACTACCCGGCAGACGACTAGTCTTACCGGGACAGAAAGCTGAAGCAATAAGCACATAACTCCACTACTGGAATTGGATTCCAGTACAAATCAGTAAACTGGCTAACTCTCGTATAGCCAATCTCCTACTACCGAATGATGAAGCTCTACCAACCTAATCAGATTCTATCTATCTCAGGTTGCAGTAGAAATCAAGAAAAGCTTATCAGACTTCAATCAATTCAATAAAACATGCATCATTCGATTAAAACCAAACAGTATAATCATCCCAAGTCATTACAATCAAATCCCTAACACATGGAACTAGGGTTCTTCATACCCAAGTGAGAGAAGGGTTCTACTCCATAGAGAGAGAGAGAGAGAGAGAGAGAGAAAAACAGAATACAAAGCAGTCATACTCATAACAATGGGAAGAATCTGCTCTGGGATGATGATTTCCACTCCTATGACGATCTCCAAGCTCGATTTGATGAAACTCAACTCCAAGATTGCTTCTAGGATGTGTTCTTCGCACTTTCTCTCTTTAGGGCTCTGTTTTTGCTCTCAAAAATCGATTCCCCCACTTGTGGCCCGAAATTGGGTAAAAACCAGAAAATCCCGATCACACGGGCAGGCCACACGGCCGTGTGGCATACCCAGATGCCCGTGTGAGGTCAAAACGCGACGTTCCGAGTAATTGGATTTCAGGCTTCCTACACGGCCAGGGACACACGGCAGTGTGGCATGCCCAGTCTGCCCGTGTGAAGCCTCACAGAATTCCACACGGCCACATTGATTTCCTACACGGCCGTGTGGGTTTTATGGGTGCCCGTGTGGCTCCCTCAGCAACTCGTCGCACGTCCGATCTTCGTCCAATCGACCCCGAACTCGCTCCCAAACCTTCATTCACTTACTAGGACCTGAAATATCACAAACAAGCACAACCTAGCGTGAAATCGGCCTAAAACACGAGAATCAACACCTCAAACGGCTCCAGAATAGGGGCAAAAACATGTGCAATTAACGGTTTATCAATCTCTGATTAGCTTCGTGCCTGGGGCACCACGGCTTCGAATGCGAGACAATCAGCCATCATCCAGGGATGAAAGACACCACCAATTGGAATCTTCAAGATGAACAGTGACGCTGGGGTTTTAAAGACGTCTGGGGTTGGTATTGGTTGTGTGTTCAGAAATTGGAACGGTGATTTTCTGGGTGCTGTAGCTGGGAAGGAGACCGGTAGTTGCAGACCAGTGGAGGCGGAGGCAAGAGCTATCATAGCTGGATTAAGAGAAGCAAATCGAAGGGGGTGGAGTCCCTTGATTGTGGAATCTGATTGCTTGAATTTGGTAAGGTTATTGGAGAAGGACGAAGAGGATCGTACTGAGCTGGGTGTGTGGTGCAAGGAGATCAGAAAATTGGCGGAAGTCAACTCGGCCATGACTGGTAAGCAGGTTGAGTGGGCTTTTGTGCCTAGAAGCTCAAATTTTGTGGCCCATTCTTTAGCCCACATGAATACCCACTGGAAACAAATGTGTATTTGGACTGATTGTCCACTAGGGGTGGCTATACGGTCTTGTCCGGTTAAATTGGACCAAATTGATCCGGTCCCAGTCCGGTCTTTTCGGGAATATAAGGACCAAAGATTGGATTGGATACAGTCCGGTCTTGATTCGGTCCGGTCTTGACCCGGTCCGGTCCTAATTTGATCTTAATTTTAGGTGTTGGCGGTCTCTTATCCGGTTTTTTACCTCAAATCTAAGCCCGAATATGAGATTGGATTGTTTGCTATCCGGTCCCAGTCCGATCCCTGTCCGGGTTATACGGTCCGGTTTTGGGTAAAACCAAACAGTCCGGGACCAAATAGCCAGCCCTATTGTCCACCCAACTCTATTAGGAGTCTGTTAGAGGCTGAGAAAGCCCAAACTTTTGAGATTTAAGGCTTCCTATAAAAAAATGTCAATGAGGAATAAAAAAGCTATGCAAAATACCCTCTATAGTTATAACTTTTACATTTGTGATAAAAATAGACATAACTATCGAAAAGGGTAAATTGCAAGTTTGGTCACTGGAATTACTAACAGTTCAAGTTTGGTCACTAAAATTAATTTATTTCATTCTTGGTTACTAAGATTAGTTCAACAGTTCAAGTTTGGTTACTGACCGTTAGTCTCTGTTAACTTTTGTTGATGTGGCAGTCAACTCTCATAATTTACCGTTAAATAAGTGACGTGGCAATTAGAAAATAAATAAAATTTAATCTATTAAAATTCCACCTCATTTATTGAATAAAAGGCTAATGCCACTACGAAACCCGAACTATCAAGAAAGTGTCATTTGTGTCCCGAACTATTCAATTTCTTATTATGTCCCAACGTATTATAATTGAGTCATTTATGTCCGACGCTTTCTGTTAAATATTGACAGTCGAACCCGATCAACACTAACGAAAAAATAGTTTAGGACACAAGTAACACTTTTTAAAATTTTTGGGTTTCCTAGTGGTAGTGGCGCAACATGAATTGGATTTGGGAGCGGCGGCGGCAGAGTAAGGGTTGGATACGGCGGGTTTGGGTTTGGAGTTGGTATCGGGTCCGGTTCCCTTTCCTGCCAACGGAGGCGGCGCTGGAGGTGGGAGTGGCGGCGGTGGCGGAGAAGGATATGGCGGGGGAAGTGGGAGTGCAGGCGGTGGGGGTGGATTTGTCGGTGGAGCTGGGAGTGGGAACGGTAACGGTCAAGGGTTTGGCTCGGAAGCTCGTAGCGGCAGCGACGGTGGGGGATTTGGTGCCGGAGGTGGGAGCAGAAGTGGTAGCAGTGAAGGGTCAGGTTGGGGAGTTGGGAGCAGTAGTGGTGACGGCGACAACGATGAAGGATCTAGCTGGGGATGTGGCAAAAGAAGTGGTGGCGGCGGGTCTGGTGGTTTAGGAGGGAGCTGCCGTGGTAATAGGTAATTAGGTTTGTTTTTTTTTTATAATTTTGATAATGAGGTGGAAAAGTAAAATAATTTTTTATTTTTTAATTGTCACGTCACTCATTTAATGGTCAATTATTAGAGTTGATTGATACTTCAAAAAAATTTAACGGAGACTAACAGAGAGTGACCAACTTTGAATTGTTGAATAATTTAAATGACTATGGATGGAATAAACTAGTTTTAGTGGCAAACGTAAATTTTTTAAGTAATTTCAGTGACCAAACTTGCAATTTACCCAAATTAAAAGTTATCTACTTATTTGAGCGAAAATCATTCATTTACTTTGGTCGACTTTCCTCCCAATCGAGCTAAGTAAGTTGACTAGCTTTTCTTGTTGGATATACGTTTGTACATAGCGTGAATGAACTGATATTAGGTGTCCTGTCACCTAACGTGACAAGAGATCTTTTCCGTTATGGTGACAGGACACCTAATATCAGTTCATTCACGCCATTTTATACTCACTCACGCTATTTTGTGCTCATTCACGTAATACTATGGTGATTTACGTTAGAGTGTAAGTTTTTCATGTAAATGGAAATTCATACTTTTTCCTCTAATAGCATCCACATTGGTATTGCATTCTTAATTGTAAAATGACATGGCATATGTGTTTGCAATTGCAAAACCATTTGCATTGATGTGGCTACCAATTGCATATTTGCCAGCTTGCAACAAATGCAATTCCATATGCAAGTCAAAAAGCCTAAAAAATGGAGATTTTTTATTTTATATTATTTTCTTTTCCCTTTCAATTAATTTTCTATAATTTAAACATAATATTTAATTACATTTGCAATTGCAAGTTAATTGCATTGATGTAGGTGAATGAAATGAATGTGATGTGAATTACAAAAAATTTGAGTTGACAATAAAAAATACACATGCAATTTATTTTGCAATTGCATTGATGGAGATGCTTTAATAATTTGTATTGGCTATATTTTATGGAATTAAATTTGGATTATCATTTAATCTTCACAATAACGCAAATATGACGTAAATAACACAAACATGGCGTGAATAAGGCAAATATAACGTGAATAACCTAAAATTAGGTGTTTTGTCACCTAACGTGAGAAGAGACTTCACTCTATAGGTAACAACCTGCTAAGATTAGCCATGCACATTACCAAACCAAGTATACATGGTTAGGGGTGTGCAACGGTTCGGTTCTGTCCGTACTTGACCAAACTAATGAGAACCACAGTCTATTAGTGACAGAAATCTTAGGAACAAGGAGCGGTCCATTATTGCGTTTGGTCCCCAAATATCAATCTGGTCCATCATTTTTTCAGTAATTGTAAAATTCATGTGGACCAAGGACCGAGACCAAGGACCGAACCGCATTATACTCGATCTAGCGTGATCCGGTCCAAACTACGGTTTGGTCCGGTCCCGGACCGGCCCATTTCACACCCCTATCCCTGATCATTTTCATCTTTGTGCTTATTGCTTACAAACTTAAGCTTCTTGGTGGGTTTTAATATTTTTCTCCATACACATCTTCTCGATGGACCACGACATATGACATCATTGTTATTATGCCCTAGACCAAGAGCAAGAAAAAGCCAAAGTGATGGAGAGGGGAACGATAAGCATAAGGGTCTGAAGAAAAATAAAGAGAAAATCATGATCAGATTACTACCCACCATCGCCTTCAGTTCTAGGCTTCTAGCTGAGCTGAGGTGGGCCAAAACAATAGATATGAAGGAAAGGAACTGGAATGGTGACAATTCGTTTTTGGCATAGAAGCAGCAGCAAGCAGAGCTGCAGAGGCAATGAACCTCATTCGTTCATTCATCCATTCATTCATAATCATGTTATAGCTGTCAGATGGGACGCCTTTTGCTTTTGCATCCATTATGTCATTTGGACCAATCCCTTGTTTGCTTGCGTTACTGCTGCATCATCCTTAAGTTCACCAACTTCCAGTTAGTTCATGGCGCACACAGCATTCAGTTAGGAGTCCTACCAGCGATTTCTTTGAACAAAGATTATATAATCGAGACCTTAATAATCCTACCTTCCGCCCCGAAACTTTCATTACAATAGCTCAATGTCAAAACTTGTATCAACATAACAAAACGAGGACCTACAGATACCAGCTCATCAACTCTATAATCATTCATTCACACTGCCTCCGTAAATGCTTACAAAACAAGGATTCAACATTGTCAGACATCGATTCTCTTCTTACCAATGATACCTAATCCACTAACCACTGCCACCCACCTATCAAACTTAAACTTCCATGGTAGCTTACGACTCCTCGCCAGAGGTCGAGCGAGATTTTCACTCAGGATTCTTCGGAGCATTGTGGTCCTCTGTCGAGTTACCATTAGATATTGCCTGTGCTTGTTTCAAAGCTGCAAAAGGAACAAGTAAACGCATTGTGAGAATCGAGAACGCAGAAGAATCCAGCAAGACATTAAACTACGAAGATCAATAAGATGACATGACGGGGAGAGCACTTACATTTGATAGATGATCCAGCAAGACAAGTAAGCCTCGCATTTGTGCTTGCCTCAGCTAATGGATTAGCCTTTTCTTCCTTCATGGAGTTACGAACATCCCACACACGTACAACCCCATCTGAAGAAGCTGATGCTAATAGGTACGGGTCATCAACACCACCATTGTTCTTGGTGAGCACTACTATACCTTTAACACGGGATTTGTGAGCATCTTCAATGCAGTAAGCAACCTTCCCACTTTTGGTATCCCATGCTGTAATATTCTTGTCCTCGCCACCAGTGAATAGAAGCCCATTCTGTTCAAGGCCACAACAAACGATCAAGAGAGACACACAGACAAGAATTACTCTGACATGAAAATTCAGCACAGAGAGCAAATGGAAGTGAAATCAGAGCTCTCATCCAGTCGTAACAACGAGGTAACTGTTGCTATTGCTAGTGGTAACATACAGCAGACTCAAATTTCACAGCTGAATCTATTCCAAAATATAAGAAGATGGAAATTAGAAGGAAATCATCCTTATTTGGATTCAATCTATTTTGCTTCCTTCAGTATCATCCCATTAGGCAGTAAGTATAGTCAGAGCAAGGGACAAAAGGAAAAAGAACACGGGCCAATGGTGAGATGGTAAAGCAGGCACACAAAAGATCGCATCAAGAATATGAAACACATGAGATAGAACAACAGGGAAACTATAACCGTTCCAAAAAAATTAAATATCACAGCACAATCAGACAGTAGAAGCAGTGAACAAATAGCTCCAAATAACTCGAAGCAATATTCTGGAGAAGTCAGTGTACTTCCATCCAAAAAAACAAGAGCAAGTTGCATTCCATCCTAATAGGCAGCCATTGACCAGCAGAAAGAGAGAACTTTACACCAAAGCTCTTGGTTTCCAGCAACAAGTGAAAAGAATAAATGTAAATTCTTGTAGTCCAGAAGCTATACATTAAGATCATCAAAGAGAGGCTATTATTATAAATTCCTACTAAGCCACGTTGAGATACAAGCTGTTCCTTCTTCAGACCAATTCTACTTGCAATTTCATTCCAATATCTAAGAAACTGCAATCCCACATCAACTGAAACGCCAATAACGAAAACAAGAGAATCCACGATGAAAAGGAAATCCAAAAGACGTAAAATTTAAACAACAAACCTCTCCAGGGGAGGCGCAAAGAACCCTATTGGGGCATTGAAGCTCAGTCACAAGCTTGGCATCTTCAGCTTCATGAACCCCAACTCTATCCTCCGTCGCCATGAAAAACTTTTCTCCATCCAAGCCATACCTCACTAAGCTAGCTTCCCTCCCAAGCCTGCAATAGAAGCTCCTTCTCCCCCTCACCAAATTCAACATCGTCAAGCAGTCATCCCTCCCAACAGAAAGCGCCAACTTCCCCGAAGGGTGGACAGCCAAGTCGTTGATCCGCTTCTTGTGGGCCCGCACTGTCTTGAGGTGGACGAAAGGGTCGGCGTCGAAGATGCAAACATATCCCTCGGCGTCGGCGGAGATTAGGTTGCGGGGGAAGGAAAGGGAAGGTGGGGTGTAGAAGGAGAGGGCGGTGACGGAAGCCGTGTGCTGGTAGAGGGAGCCGAGGGAGGCGGCCGAGGGTAAGTCGTAGAGGTGGATAGTGTCGTCGGAGGACCCAGAGGCGGCGATTGGGCCGGCGGCGGCGGCGGAGAGGATTGCGGATTGATGGGATGGGTAGGAGAAGAGGGGAACTAAGGTTAGAGATTGTTCGCTGGTTACGGGCTTGAGTTTGAATCCCCAGATGAATCTTTCGTTGGAACCTGCTACTAGACTCATGGCCGCCGGCGGTAGTGGTGGTGACGGCCGCGGCGGGGTTCTAATGGGGGGGATTTGGCGATCTGATAAAACCCTGGAGAAAGAAATTAGGGTGCGGGGGCTTTAGAAAAAACAAGTTGGCGGGCAGTTTTGATAAACAGGCCGGGTAAAGCAAATGGTTTGCCGTATTGCCGGTTCAACCGTTCATGTAATTGAAGTATTGAACCAAAAATTATCCTTTTTTTTAACATTGAAAAAAGAGAACCCCAGCAGAGGCGATTACTATGCATCCCTATTCATTTTAATGTACATATAGACTCATTGACACTGTTACGACTCGGATTGGACGTGGGTGTGGGCGGGTGTATGCTGATCTTTGGTCAGTTCCTCAAGCTGTGGTTCTTTTTGGACCATGCGAGACCTCTAGTTGGGTGGTCAGTTGGTGGGTCTGGTTGAATTTGTGTGGTTCTGGTGAGTCTGAGTTGATCAGCGCGTTACCTTTTGGTGTTCTCGATGCTATTTGAGAGGGAAACAGAGGAAAACAACTTATACTTGGTGAATTAGGAGCCACGTAGCTCTTCAATTTTTGCCCACTCATTTAGATGAACGACTCAATTCTCTATGTCTGCTTTTTTCATTGGTTTCCGTCTCGAGAGATGCACTTTCTCTATTAGAAGTAGAAATGGTGAGGAATCTCATTCACCACTTGCCTTTTAGTTGTCTCTTTCTACCATCTCACTTCCCATCCAATCTTACATGCTCTCCTTCTTCCCCTATCACTTACAGGAGGAAAAATTAAAAAAAAAAACCCTCTTGATACCTCTATTTTCTCACCCCCTGATTCAAATCAGCAAACTCAGAGGATTCCCAGACGACAGAGATATGGGTATTGGCCGTTTTCACGACTTCCAGAAGGCTTATGAGTTGACAATGTTGAGGATGTGGGAGAACTGGACAACGTCAAGCAACTCAGTGAGCAACACGTCTTTTAGAACTCCTCTTAGTGATGAAAACCTGTTGTTCGGAAGCACCCTCTTGCTATTGCCAAATTTAGATCTTCTAATCTCCGTGTTCCAACAACAGCCACTGTGTCAGCAAACCAGCAAATATTGGTAGAGAAGGTTAAATAACTTCCTCTATAGATGTTTTGTATATAATATTTGACTCGATTGCTTCCCCTAATCACTAGTTTTCTTGATTCTGCCGTTTTTTAGGCTTAAGTTGCAGTTGGAACAACAACGATGATAGTGGCAAAGAGATTCAGGTAGGGAGAGATGGGGAAACCCCAGAGCTATGCGGCTTGGAATTCCGTCGGTCTATTACTCTTTTCCATTTATTCTGACTCGGATCTGCGGATTCAGGTGAGCATCTGATATTATGTGCTTTGGTTTCTCTTCTCTTTGTAGATTGTGATTCCATTCTCTTTCCCCTTCAACATGCAGATCTATCGGACTGATCGAGGGCCGCACGATCATCATTGAGACGTCGTCTCTGACAGAGACGTCGATGGAGGTTATTCTCTCTCCTCGATGGTTCTATTTATCTATTTCCTTTCTCTGCCCCCTATTATCTAAACCAGTTTTCTCTTCTTTGATCCATGGCTTTTGTTTGATGCCTTTGAGGACGATCATGGATTTTGTAGTGGACTATCACCATGAACTTCGTAGCGATGTAACTGGTAAGCGCAGCAACAGATCTCATGCTCTAATATATGCATTAATTGTAAAGTTGTGTAAATTTGACAATTTTATTTTCCTTTCCCCAGGTTTCAGGTAATTTTTCTCTATGTTGACTAGATGAGTAGCCAGCCATCTTCCTGTGCTTTCCCCGCACCAGTGCGTTGTGGAAGATTCAGGTACCTCAAACAACAGCCATTGTCTAGATGAGCTTTGACCATGGTAAGCTACATCTTCCTCATTTTATTTCATTTCATTTTCTTTTCTTCCTTCTATTTCATTCCATGACAAGCGCTGTTATTGACAATTATATGTCCAATGTTTTTTTTTTTTTGTACTTTTTGACAATAACGTCTCCCAAATAATTGTGGATGGATGCCAACATTTCATTTTCTTCTTAGTTCTCATTCTATTGCGTCCACACATCTTATAATGCTTATATGATGTCATGCCTTTTGAGGATATGAGTTTGCCTTGGCTTTTGGAAGAGTTCCTCCAATTAAGTAACTGTGTTTTGAACTTTTTTGATCTTTCAATTATTGATCAACTGTTTCGGATGTAAGCGAGAAAAGAGGAGTAACCAGTCCATGGTTGCTGTCTATTTCAACAAGAAAATTCATATGTCAAAATCACTATGAAATTTCACATAATAGAGGTCTTTTGGAACAGTGTTTTATTCTGTTACCTTATGTAGGTGTTTGAAGATCAATTTTGCTTTGAAATTTTGAAAACAGTCTAACCCTAACAACACCAAATTTTCAACGGGTTGTAAATTGTTTTTTCCTTCATTCTATAAGGTCATAATCGAGGGAACTAAATAGAACTTTTCATTCAAAACTTGCAACAAGAGCGAACTTTTTTTGGGTGTGTTACCACCTAGACTTGACGTTTGTAAAAATAGATAAACTAAACAAAAGTGCGGTGTGTGTAATCACAAGCATATAATATCATACATCATAAACATGTTCTGGCAATGCAACATTTATGTTTTACAATTAGCTTCAAGTCCCACCGCGGAGCGCGGGCAATGAAAACTAGTAGACATTTATAAAGGTTGTAGCCGCCTAGAACTCATAAAAAGTTAATGTGTTGGAGGAAGAAAAAGTGCCATAGGAAGGCACCAAAAACTTATGCTAATCTTCTGGCTCATTCTCCACCTAAACGACAGGCAAGAGACCAGGGTCAACTCTGCATTTATCATTTTAGCATGGAAAAATCAACGAGTATACTCCCAGAAGTAGTGCTTCAGGTTGGAGAAGAACTTCCTCTTGGTGTGAGTCGTCATCCCCTTAGGTAGCTGGTGGCCCACCAGATAATTTGAAAAATTGGAGTACCAAGGGGTGACACTCTCCACCAGCAACATTTTCAGCTCCCTTCTTGTCCCGAATCTCGATGTCAAACTCCTGCAGAAGTAGGATCCATCGTATGAGCCTAGACTTGGCATCGGCCTTGCTCATCAAGTATCGTATCACGGAGTGATCTGTGTATACGGTCACATGGGACAAGACCAGATAAGGACGAAACTTGTCGAAGGCGAACACCACTGCAAGCAGCTCCTCCGTGGTGGTGTAGTTCTACTGGGAATCGCTGAGGGTCTTCGAGGCATAGTAGATAGGACGGAAGTGTTGATCTCGCCTCTGCCCCAAGATAGCTCCAACACCAAAGTCACTGGCGTCGCACATTAGCTCGAACGGTAGGGACCAGTCAGGAGCGACCATGATAGGAGCATGAGTGAGCTTCTCCTTCAAGGTCGTGAATGCCGCTATGCATGCATCAGTGAACTGGAAGGGGGCATCCTTCTCAAGGAGCTTTGTCAGGGGCAAGGAGATCTTCGAGAAATCCTTGATGAACCGCCTGTATAACCCTGCATGGCTCAAGAAACTCCGGATCCCCTTAACTGATGTGGGAGGATGCAGCTTACTGATAGTCTTGATCTTGGCTCTGTCCACCTCAATCCCCATCTTGGAGATCTTATGCCTTAGAACTATGCCTTCGCGAACCATGAAATGGCACTTCTCCCAATTCAGTGCCAGGTTCATCTCTTCACACTGTTTAAGGACGAGTTCTAGGTTATGGAGACATCGAGAGAATGAGCCCCCCAAAAACCGAAAAGTCGTCCATAAACACCTCCATAATCTCGCCGATCAGGTGGTCAAAGATGGCGAGCATGCATCGCTAAAAAGTGGCAGGGGCATTACATAGCCCCAATGGGATCCTCCGGTAGGCGAATGTGCCGAAGGGGCAGGTGAAGGTGGTCTTCGCCTGGTCTTCTGGTGCAATGGGGATCTGGAAATACCCGTACATCCCATCCAAGAAGCAGTAGAACTCGTGCTCCACCAGCCTCTCCAGCATCTGATCAATGAAAGGCAACGGGAAATGATCCTTTTGGTTGGCGTCGTTGAGGCGACGGTAGTCGATGCAGACGCGGTACCCGGTCACTGTGCGCATAGGTATGAGCTCGTTCTTCTCATTGGGTACCACGATCATCTCGCCCTTCTTAGGCACCACCTGGGTGGGACTGACCCACTCGCTGTCAGAGATGGCGAAGATGATTCCCGCGTCCATCAACTTCACAATCTCCGCCCGAACCACAACCTCCAGGTTCGGGGTCAATCTCCGCTGGGGCTGTCTTACCGGCCGCATCTCATCCTCTAGCAATATCCGGTGGGAGCAGAAGGAGGGGCTGATCCCCCGGATATCAGTGATCTTCCATGCCAAAACTCGCTCGTATTGCTTCAGCAAAGCCACCAGTCTGACCTTCTGCTCGGGCGTGAGGGTCGAGCTAATGATGACTGGAAGCATGTTCCCCTCCTGGAGAAATGCATACTCCAAGTGAGGAGGGAGGGGCTTTAGCTCCAGCTCTGGTGGCTCCTCCAAGGAGGTAGTGATGCGAGGCGAGGATGAGATCGATTTGAACAGCCTATCGCCCTCCAGGGATGCGTCACTCTCTAGCGCGGCCAACTGCTCCTCCAGTTGCAGCTCCTGCGATGCCTGCTCACCTAGCAAAATACAACGCTCAAGAGCATCGTCAGTACCCGCACTCGTTATGGCGAGTGCGGTCTCAAAATCAGCAAGCATATCACAGTAATCTAAGTCATTATGCAAATAGGAGTGCTTCCCACTATCATATACAGAAAAAGTAGCATGTTCATACCCAGCACGCAAGATCAGTTTACCACTATGCACATCAATAAATGCCTTGGCGGTGGCGAGAAATGGTCAACCCAAAATCAAAGGCACATCCACATCCTCATTTATATCCAGAATAACAAAATCAACAGGATATGTGAATGCGCCCACATTAACAAGCAGATCTTCTATGATACCCCTAGGATGCACAATAGAGCGATCAGCTATCTGGATGCTCATCCTAGTGGTTCTAGGTTCACCTAGGCCTAGCTTCTTAAACAATTTATAAGGCATGACATTAATGCTAGCGCCTAAGTCCGCCAAAGACTTTCCTACATGCATGCTGCCAATAACAAGAGGGATAGTAAAACTCTCTGGGTCTTTGCGCTTCTCGAGTAGCTTGTTCTGCAGGATGGCAGAACACACCTCGCTCAGCATCACTTTCGAGAGATCCCCAAGTTTCTTTTTGTTGGTGAGGAGATCCTTCATGAATTTGGCGTACTTGGGCATCCTCGACAGTGCCATGAATGGCATGTTGATGTTGACCCGCTTCAACATTGCCATGAACTCGGCAAACTCAGTCTCCAGCTTGTCTTTGTGTAGGCGAGTGGGGAAGGGAAACTGGGGTACATGCTCCTTAACCAATGGCTGTGGCTTGGGAGCAGATGCTTCTTTCTCCATCCCCACTTCTGCATCGTCAGTTGGAAGTGCTGAAGCAGGTAGTGGCTCTTCCTGCCTGGCCGGGGCAGGAACATCAGATGTTGTCTTGCCACTCCTGGTAGTGATGGCATCCAGTTGCTGATGAGGCTCGCGAGGATTTGGAATGGTGGTGGCAGGCAGAGTCCCCGGTGCTCTGGTGTTATTTTGGCGAGCTATGCCACCAATCTGATTCTGGAGATCTTGTAATATGGAACCTTGGTTCCTCTGGCCTGCCTCCAGTGAGGTTATGTTCTGGTCCATCCTGGTGAAATTTGCTTGGGTGGTAGTCATGAATGCCTGCAAAATGTTTTTCAGCTCCGTCATCTAGGTATATAGAGCTAGAGTTGCTGGTAGCTGGGCATACTAGCGTTGCGGCTGCTGAGATGGATGCCCCTGTCTGGGCTGGTAAGGTTGTTGCTGTGGAATTGGACCCTGCCGAGTCTGGAAGGCCTGCCTCTGCTGAAAACCACCGGCTGGTGCTGGGAAACCAAGTGATTTAGTGGTGTTGCTGTTATTGCTATTCCAAGAGAAGCTGGGATGTTGGCCCCGCCCTTCATTATATGTTCCACTGTAAGGATCAAGGCGCTGAGCATTGGCGATAAAGTCTAACTGCTCATGGGGTGTAGAAGACTCCCGCATAGCCTGGCAGTCTTCCACCAGATGGTTCAAACTCTCACACCACTGACATTGAGCAACTGAAGGTCCGACCAACCCTCTGCCCTGAATAAAACTATTGGGCTGCTTCAATGTCTGGACCAACTCGGCCAACTCCCGCTCTAGCCCGGACCTAGCCTCCATGGCATGCACACCTTGGTCTCGGGAACTCCTGCCTCTGGTGCTCCGCCCCCAAGAATTATCCCTTGCAGCCAAGGTACTAATCATCTGATTCAGCTCGGGTGGAGTATTGGTGAGAATATCCCCTCCTAGGCATAGAGACTCGATCACCCTCTGGCTCTCTGGGGTCAGAGCACTGTAGAAATTCCCCATTGTGAATGTATCACTGAAACCGTGATGAGGACACTGCCAGAAGAATCCCGAGTACCGCTCCCAGGCATCACGTAGTGACTAATCTGGCTCTTGGCGGAAATGAGTGATCTCCCGCTGAATCTCCGTGGTCTTCGAGGCCGGATAGTACCTATGCACAAACTTGTCGGCCAGGTCGTCCCATGACGTGATGGACAGTGGGGGCTGGGTTTCTAACCACCTCTTCGCATGCCCCGCCAGAGAATGGGGGAAAAGGTGGAGACGAATTGCATCATCGGGTACACCATTCATTTTGAACCCATTTGTCAGCTGCAGGAACTGGAAAGGTGCATCCTCGCCAGCGGGGGATCCAGGACATAGTAGTGCACTGGGCCGCATTTCATTAGAAAATTAGATACTGTAAAAAAAATTATAGTTTTTTTTACAATATCAATTGTATACGTCGATCTTTTAATATAGCGAAGTCATCAATAATGGAGTGTACATCCATACTAATAGCATACTAATCTCCCTCAAATAAATAGTTTACCAATCAGTGAGAAATTCATCGCTCATTTTTTTACGCAAATCATATTTCACCTGTTCCATTATTGAAAAGGTTTTCTCCATAGTACCTGTTGAAATGGGCAATGTCAATACTAGACAAATCAATCGGCTAATCAATTTGTATTGTGTGTTCATCCATATTTTCATCAGCTGCTCTAGTAATTTTTCAAGAGAGAAAACCTCAGTTCTTTACTCCTTTACGTTTTAGACTCTTAGAATTTTAGGTTACATTGTTTGTTTTTCTTTAGAAGAGAATCAATGGAGCTAGAATTTCTAGGCTAAAGAGTTGTGATTTGATTATGTCATCTAACCCATTTTCTCAACTACACACAATCTTATTATAAAACAACACTATGCCGAATGGCTAAAATCGATAAACTCATAAGGACTATACTAGCTCCGGATCTAGAGGAGGGCTGGGCCGTGGCCCGGGTTGGCCACCGCCTGGATCCGCCAGTGACCCTCGCCTCTTCATCCTTCAAGCCATGGAACTTGATAGAGGATGTGATAAGTTGAATCCATCATGGCTTGATCTCAAAGTTATTTACTGGGATGGGCTGATACAGGATGACGGGGCGGATGTCGGCGACCCGTGGAGTGTATTAGTACTCCATAGTAGGGCCCGGCGGGGGTGGTGGATGCTTAGCCCCATCTGCCTGGGGAACTGGGTTTTTCGCCAGGACCTGATTCACTGGGGGGGACCTGCATGGGCATCCCTAGCGGTTGATTCTGCCCCAGGTTAAGGTTCCATCTGTTGTGCTTGTCGCCCATCTCGTATTTGATACGCCCCTGGGGGGTGTATGTTATCAAAGTAACGCAGCAAACGACTCAATCGAAGAATCGATTGAGCTCGAATCAAGAACGAAGCGCTCTTAATACGAACTTGGGATAAAACGGAACCAACGGACAATTCCACACCTGGGGAAAGCTCGTATGGTATAAAAGGGTAGCTGCTCGACCACGATTGAAGAGAATATTCAATCGATACAAAGCTCACAAGCTTGGAATCTACCAAACTCAAACAAGTCGCAACTTGCACAAAACCAAAAGGTTCTCAATTCGATTAATCAAAGTCTGAGTTTTACAACGAAAGTAGAAAGGTATTTATAGGCAAATAAACCTAATACAAACCTAATAGAACTAGGAAACAATTAAGGTAAAAATCTACTCTAAAAAGGACTCAAAATTCGGATTTAAACTCTCTTTCTTCAAGTGCAAGTAAGCTGCCAGCAAACAGTCAAAAGGCAGATTTCGTACTAACTTCACGCCTTTTGTTTGAGGCCTTCCCGAACTCCAATTCTTCATCCAATTCCTTCCCTTTGTTCAAAAACATACCTAGTTTGATGTTGTAGAAGCCTTTGGTCTCGAATCGGATCCATGCTCCTTGAACTGAGCTCCAAAGTAGACTTCACAAAACAGTTTCCTGCCTTAGCCATTTTCTGGCAGTTTTCCAATTTTGAGGTAGCAACTTTGAGGACTTGGAAAACAACCTTAATGACATCTTCTGGATCCATAAAGCATACCATTAGAAAGATGGTAACTTTATCTGAAAAACAAACTCTTAAAATTGAATTTCCACCAAGCCAATTGAGCGAACCATGCCTCCAAAGTATGTACCCTGAACACGGATTTTGACACAGCCAAATTCTGCCTTTCTTCTTCCCAACTTTGATAGCTTCTTTGTCAAATAATTGTGACGTGAATGGTGGGCAATTTGGGATCATATCAGGCCCTCCCTCTTGAAAAAGTGTTGCCCTCAACACTTTATCCTTTGTTTGCTCAAACCATTCACAGAATTGATCCCAAATTGGATCGAAAGTAGGCTGCGCAAACACAATTTTCGGCATAACTATGGCAGCTTCTAATTCACATTCAATCTGCTCCAGCCGCTTCGTTGGACTCCAAGGTTCGCATTCCACCCAGACAACGAAGAAAATTTGACCCAGAATCGAATTTGACAAACTTACAGATTCCGGCCAACAATTTGCAGAATCCGGTGCCGGCAAGAACTCCGGCGAGAGCTCCAAATTTGGGGATTTCGTTCCTAGACCACCACGATCCAATTCGTTGCACAAGATCGACTCATATCGATCCCAGCAATCGATTACTGCTACTCCAGTGCATCGATAATCTCTGAATCGTCGCCAATCGTCATCCAAAAGTTTCCCGCCGCCGGACGATTTAAAAATCCCAGTTTCCGACGAAGAAAACCCAGAATCCGGCGAGCCCAAACAAAAATTATGCGTTTGTGATTTCGGCTTCCCCTCTTCCAATGGATCGTTGCTAGAGCTTACTTGAACCTTACCGAAGTTGCCCATGGTCTCTTTTTCGTTCGATTCGCTTCCAATCTCTCCAATCGATTCTTCCTTGGCTTCTCCAAACTTTCGGGTAAAAATTTCAGAATTGGGCGTTGTTGATTGGAATGATTTCGGATCAAATTGAAGACTTATATACGTTCCATGGACATTATGGAACGATTCTGTATTGGGAAGTTTGCTCGAATCAGGCCCGATCTTTCCAACCCATTCGCTCGTAGTTTGCTCGTGTTTGAGCGTTTGCAGGGGTGTTTGAGCCCGACTTTGATTCTGCAAAACAGAAGAATTTGTTTGCTTCTTCTCAAGGGGAGAGCTTCCCGAAGCCATTGAGAACGTTTCAGCGTTGTTGGATTTGCTCGCCACTTCGCCAATCAACCCGACCAATTGTCCCTCTCTCTTCCTCTGTTTCGCGGCAAGGATGGGAAGCTCAACTGCTCTCGTCGCCGAGACGATTCGCCCATCGTCAGACTGACCCCGACCCTCTCCTCTCTTCTTCGACCTTTCTTCCACCTCTAGCAACGCATAGTTGGCCGCGTCGAGCTCCATCTTTGCCTCCTCGTCGTCGGCGTGACTGCTGGCCTCGTAACTCTGTTTTTCAGGGGATAAACAGAGTTCATTGCAGGCTGCTGGTTCAAGCTCTGGGACTGCCTTCTGGTGCTTCCGAAAGCTCATGAAATTGAATCCCATGTGCCTCTGTACCCACATCTGAGCTCGAGACGCCTTGCCTGTATTCCTCTTCTCCTCCATCTGCCTTTGATCGTTGTAAACGTCATCCGGAGAAAGAGGTTTCAACACAAACTTCTTACCTTGGTGCTGAAACTTATAATAATTTGTCCAACCTTCGTGTGTAACCTTTCGATCGAATTGCCACGGTCTACCAAGCAATAGGTGAGCTGTTTGCATCGGTGCAACGTCACACAAAACCTCGTCCTCGTACTGTCCGAGATTAAAGCGAACTAACACTTGTTTCGTCACATTGATCGTTCCATGTTCGTTGATCCAACTGAGTTGGTAAGGTTGGGGATGCCTTTGCGTTTTCAATCCAAGCTTGTTGACAGCGTCCAGGCTTACGATATTTTCACAGCTCCCTCCATCAATCACGAGTGACACCAATTTTCCATCGATGAAGCATCTACTGTGAAATAAGTTATCCCGCTGTTCGTCGGACTCTCTATGCTTGATGACGACTGTTGGGGACTTCTCTTTGCCACAAAATCGTGCCTGCTGCTCCTCCTTACTGCCCTTTACTAACTCCTTTGCTCGAAGGGAGTTTTCCATCGCGATTGCACACGAAACAGCCGCTGTAACACACGAACAGGGGCTGCCCTGTTTAAACACGAATTCTGCTTGTGCCGATATCGTCACTTGCTTCTTCTCCTTCGCCCTTGTGTAGAACGGGGCTCTGATACAACTTGATAAGCCCCTGGGAGGTGTATGTTATCAAAGTAATGCAGCAAACGACTCAATCGAAGAATCGATTGAGCTCGAATCAAGAACGAAGCGCTCTTAATACGAACTTGGGATAAAACGGAACCAACGGACAATTCCACACCTGGGGAAAGCTCGTATGGTATAAAAGGGTAGCTGCTCGACCACGATTGAAGAGAATATTTAATCGATACAAAGCTCACAAGCTTGGAATCCACCAAACTCAAACAAGTCGCAACTTGCACAAAACCAAAAGGTTCTCAATTCGATTAATCAAAGTCTGAGTTTTACAACGAAAGTAGAAAGGTATTTAAAGGCAAATAAACCTAATACAAACCTAATAGAACTAGGAAACAATTAAGGTAAAAATCTACTCTAAAAAGGACTCAAAATTCGGATTTAAACTCTCTTTCTTCAAGTGCAAGTAAGCTGCCAGCAAACAGTCAAAATGCAGATTTCGTACTAACTTCACGCCTTTCGTTCGAGGCCTTCCCGAACTCCAATTCTTCATCCAATTCCTTCCCTTTGTTCACAAACATACCTAGTTTGACGTTGTAGAAGCCTTTGGTCTCGAATCAGATCCATGCTCCTTGAACTGAGCTCCAAAGTAGGCTTCACAAAACAGTTTCCTGCCTTAGCCATTTTCTGGCAGTTTTCCAATTTTGAGGTAGCAACTTTGAGGACTTGGAAAACAACCTTAATGACATCTTCTGGATCCATAAAGCATACCATTAGAAAGATGGTAACTTTATCTGAAAAACAAACTCTTAAAATTGAATTTCCACCAAGCCAATTGAGCGAACCATGCCTCCAAAGTATGTACCCTGAACACGGATTTTGACACAGCCAAATTCTGTCTTTCTTCTTCCCAACTTTGATAGCTTCTTTGTCAAATAATTGTGACGTGAATGGTGGGCAATTTGGGATCATATCAGTATTCCTCTTCGGAATCGCTGCTTAGATGGCCGTCGACGTGCACTTCTTCCGTAGCCAGTCTTGCTCGCTGTTGTCTCCTTAGCTAGCGACAAGTGCGTTCTAGCTCCGGATCTAACGGTAATAAATCTCCCGATTGGCTACGGGTCATGCACTACCTACACACAGCCAAGCAAAAAAACCCGTGAAGGCACAAGTGGGACAAAGCAGACAGTCAATGCGGAAAAGAAATGCTAAAGTAAAAGAAATCACGTTTCTTCAACAACCTAGCCATTCCCCGACAACGGTGCCAAAAACTTGACACGCCTCTACCTTCACACTAGAAAGTGGCCAAGTGTAACCACCTACTAATGCGTAGTATAGCGGGTTTAGTTATAAATGTCAACCCGGTACCTAGGTGTATGACTACTCCGTGAAAGTCTTATTATTTAGCGGTTCAAGTGTAGTGAAGGTCTAACTAAACTAGCAAGCAAAAGTAGTGAAAGTTGTGTTCAAAGTTGAGAGAGGTCACCCAGATATGGTTCCCCCTAGACTGCAGTTAAGCCAGGTTGTAATTCACCAAGTTCAAGTTCAATGATAGTTATACAGCGGGAGGTTCTTAGACAGTCTGCAGTCTCGACTAAAGGTCTCCAGACCCTCTTAGTCTGAGTCCCCAGCGGGCGACTAACCTCCACCAGAGTAAACAGATTGAGGCTCTAACGGGAGAATCTGGTTAGTCACTCTCTCTCTCTAGGTTCTGCTTTCTTTCTCTAAAACTCGGAACCCTTGTAAAATTGGCCTTCTTTCCCTAAAAAAGGATCCGATCGCGATCCCCGGTCATAATACCCGGTCAGGTTTCAGCTGCCCGGCCGGGTATTTTGAAATGTTGCGTAGTGGGGAAAGGGAAATGCCCGATTGAGTTTCAGAATACCCGATCGGGTACTTTAGCTTTCCGACCGGGACCCCTTATGTAATTCTGGCGTCCAAAACGTCTTTACCCGGTCGGGTATTTCCAGTGCCGACCGGGTATTTTTGCCTCCATCACCCTTCTTGCATTTTACCCGGTCGGGTATTTTAACTCCTGACAGGGTATTTTCTTCTTCCAATGCCCCTTCACAATAACGTCCTACTTTTTGACCCGAAACTCGTTTCTACCCCTCCATATCAATGCCAAGTCCTGAAATATGACATAAACGCACAACCTAGCGTGAAATCGACTTAAAACACGAGAATCGACTCTCAAACGGCTCAAGAATTGAGGTATAAACATGTAGGGGTGGCAGTCGGTCGGTTTCGGTTTAACCGTCAACCCGGTTATTGGTTAAACCGACCCACCCCTTATAGCTGCCGACCACCGACCGTGAGGTGTTTCACGGTTAGCCGGCCAACCGACCGGTCGGTTTTGGTTTTAGGCTCGGTTAGCCGATCAATTGGAAAACTACGTTTTCTAAAAAAAACAAAAATTAAGAAAAACAAAAATTCTGCACCACTCACTCCTAACCCCTCTCACTTCTCGATTCTTCTTCTTCCTTTCCAGAGAAAACCCGCCGCTAACCTATCTCTCTCCCTACTCTCTCTCGATTCTCTTCTTCCTTTCCAGAGAAACCCGCCGCCGCCGAGTACGCCTCCACGCCTGCCCAGCTCCAGGCAATCGTCCACTACGCCACCTCCCGTACCACGCCGCAGCAGAAAATTGACAAGATCTCCATAACCCTCAACGTCTTCCACATTCGCCGCAAAGTGGCGCTGTTGCCGGGAGAAAGCGGCGACGGCGGAGCAATCGGTGTTGCGGACTCGCGGGGAAGAAACGACGATGGCGGAACAGGCGGTGTCGCTGGTTGAGAAGGGTCAACCAAAAACCCAGAAAAGGGGTCAAAATCCCAGCAAAAATCCAGAAAATCAAACATGCAAAACCATAATCCGCCACTTACAATCGATTTGGAGGCTGGCCAGCACTCCAACGGCGTATTATAGGCTGGGATCTTGTCTGATTCCAAAGTGGAACGATAGATGGGATCATGGGAAGTGATTTTTCCCTCTTGTTTCTCGGAAAGAAGAAGAAAGTAAATCGAGGGAGCAGGGTTTCTGATTTCAGAAGGCATGGCGGAGAGGGAAGGAATGGTTTTTGGGTCTCTGGTTCGTTTCGTAGAGAGAACAGAGGAGAAGGAGGAAGAGAGATTTGAGCGCCGACGACGATGGTGGTGGCGAACGAGGACAAGGAAACGGCTCGGAGTGTCGACCAGCCTGCTCTCGACGACGATGGTGGAGATGAAGGAAGCAGAGGCGGGGAGGGGTTAGGTTTCGTTTGTGTTGGGGGAGGGGTTCTGGGAATGGAAGCGGGGTCGTTTGGAGCAGTAGGCGCAGAGGTCGGTTACCTTCGGTTAGCCGCGTAACCGCTTTCCGGTTAGTCGGCTAACCGAAGCACCCCTCAGCCCTTCCGGCAACCGACCGCTACAAGTAAAGGGCGGTTTTTGGTTAGCCGCTAATCGACGGTTATCGGTCAAACCGACCGGTTAGCCGCTAACCGACAACCAAACTGCCACCCCTATAAACATGTGCAATTAATTGTCTATCAGTTCCACCTGCTATAGATTGAAATACACAAAAACGAGACAAAACCCATTGTAAAACCAAACTCCCGGAGTATAAATGCCTCAAACGACTAAGGAAATATGGGCAAAAAGTGTACAATTAAGCCAGAGAGTCGTTATTTGGAGATTGCAACGTCGGCGGTCTGAAGAAGGGGAGAGAGGGATTGGGAAAGGTGATGAAACGTCGGCGATCAAGAGTTTAACCCTTCATTTTGTTTTCATTTTTATTTTTTATGTTTAAAAATTATAAATAAAAATTAACCTGATGTGGAAGGTGATGTGGCTATTGACGTGGTCTTTTCAATTACAAAGTTAGCAACGGTAACAGACTGTTAGCCATCCGTTTATAGATTTTTCCCAGAAAGGATACTATTTTTTTTTACAAAAATAGCACCCAGTCCCAAAAAATTCTAAAATAGAACACTTTCTAAAAAAACCGCTGGGTCTGGGGAGGTTTGGTAGACCGCTTGGTTCAGGGGCGATTTAGTCCAAAATCGTTGCCCAACCCAGCGGTTTGATCCATATATATATTTTTTCTATAAATTCTAATATAGGTGAAAACTTCAAACGAACGTATCTTTTTGTACGGGTATCCGATCGTAGCGATATTTTTTTATTCCGCATTACTTTTCGAGATCTTGCAAGCCGCAAACCGTCATTGGTCCCGCCTTCGTCCCAAAAAATGTTGTTCGCTACCGCGAACGAGCTTTTTTCCGATTTTGTCAAACTTTAGACGACCAGTAGGAATGGCAATGGGGCAGGACCGAGGCGGGTTTCTTGGTACCCAGACCCACCCCGTGACAGGTCGGGTAATTTATCCCGTGTCGCGGGTCGGGACAGGTCGACCCAATGGGTCTGAAATTTATATGAAAAAATTAGAAATATTCGTTATTTTTATTATAAGACCAAGAAAACAAACAATATAATGATAAATGTAGTAAAATTATTAGAGAAATTGAGGTTTTCACTAATTTATAATTTTATTATAGCTAAAATATGATGTAATAAAAGAAAATTTATATGTAATTTGACTAAGATTACATGTAGTTTAGGCAAGAACGGTCGAGAATGGGGCGAGTCAAGGCAGGTCGGGTCGATGAAATTACCCATGCCCTTCCCACCCCGCCTATGGGACGGGTTGGACCCGCCCCAAAATAGGCCAAACAGGTCGGGTAAAACGGGTCAGGTCAAAATTGCCATCCCTAACGCCCAAAACTTTGTGCTGCAAAATCCGAACATCATGAATTTATTTTTATTTCCCATAACATTTTAAATACTACAACTTTTACTTGGAAGAATATTCAAAATAGAAATTATTTTTGGATACACATGGTTTTGAGAATAACTTTACTTTTCCTTTTCAAAAATCCAAGTACATTCTGAAATTATGTCTATGATAAAATTTGTAGTCCTTAAAAAGTTATGCGAATAAAAAAAAATTCATGACGTTCGGATTTTGGAGCACAAAGTTATGGCCGTCTAAAGTTTGACGAAATCGGGAAAAAGCTCGTCCGGGGTAGCAAACGACATTTATTCGGGACGAAGGAGGGCCGACTTGCAAGATATCGAAAAGTTATGTGGAATAAAAAAAAAGCGTTGGGTGGGGCACCGGTTTTGGACCAAACTGTCCCAGACCCATGCGGTCCACAAAACCTCCCCAGACCCAAGCGATTTTCGTTGAAAACCGTGCCACCACCCAGCTGTTTTCGTGTAAACTACGGGTGGGCTGGCGGTTTTTGAGAAAGGGTGCTATTTTTGAAATTTTTCGAAATTGGGAGCTTTTTGTGTAAAAATAAATTCAACAGTATTCTTTCTGGAAAAAAATCATCCGTTTATGCACAACAGTAATTATGGCTTCGATAGTTGTGGCTATTATTCCCCACTGCTTAATAGTTGTGGCTAATATATTGTATTTACCTTTAGTTTTACTCTTACTTCTCTTTTTTCCTCGTATTTAGAGAAATTTGTTTGGTAACTAACAAGGTCGTCAACTCGGTTTAGCCTATTGGCCCGATAGAGGCGGGATCTGGAGGATTGCTTTCACAGGACATGACCTCTAAAGTAAACACCAAAAATGTGTATCAGACCACTTGACTAAAAGGGAACCATAAGAACCAAGACTGATGATCATCTAGGATAAGAAGGCCAATGCAACATCTAAAGAATCCACGGACCACGGGCTAGTGCTACTGAATACCCTCATCTCCTACTCCAACCATTTCAATTCAGCCATGCTCTGATTTTGATACGGATACAAAGAATGGCTAACGGCCATGGATATCTTTCCTTGAGCTGGAACTATGAACAGAAGACCATCCACTATGCACTCTTTGGCCAAGGAAGAATTTTGTACAATCCTCTGACATTGAGCTTAAGTTGGACACGGCATCCCCCATTGGATTTGGGGGCAAATTTGAAGCGCAACTCTTTAACTAAAAATGGCGCCGGCCAATGCATGACAGCCACGTTTGGGACATGAATAGGATACAAACAAGGCGGGTTGGAGGAAAAAGGAATTACATTCATCACTGGTTCATGACTTGTTCTGGAGGAGGAACAGTACTGGTTTCTCCATGATCATCTCCTTCCTCCTCCTCCAGTCTTCTCCGGAATCGATCTTCATTGCTCTGTTTTCTCTTCTGTTGCTGCTGAGCTACAATCCCTTTCCACCCTAAACCAGAAAGTTCCAAGGCAGGAAGTCCTTCAGAATCATCACATGTTCATATCACCTCTAAACACAGGACAATGTTTTCGCAGTTCCATCAATGGAATGATAAAGCATTTACCTAGAGAAGGATCAAGCCCGCGGCTTTTAAGCTCTCGATATTCCTGACAGAGTGAACACAATGGGCAGAAGATATGAGAAGCCACATCTGTGTACGGATCTTCTACCAGAACATACTTCCTCCTCAGTTTGGTTCTGTACTCTGTTGCCACGAGCCACTGAGAATACGAGGCGAGCATCGCCAAGAAGCAAATGCAACACATTGAGCAACAAGCTGCAGAGAAATCGATGGTTACAAATATGATTAGAAACGGGGCTGTTTTCAGCTCAAGCCTTCATTTTTAAAAAGAACTTACATGACCTTCCTTCATCGACTACTTCTGCTATTTGGCCGAATGTAACACATGGACAAATTGCAGTTAGAATAGCTGTCAAGGGTTAAAAAAAAAGGAGAGAATTATATGGGATCTGAAGGGAATGTTCAGAAGTTCAAGATTGATGATGATGCACTGTTCAATAAGACCACGAGATGTGATGGGAGATCATTACCATTTGTCTGATCTGTCCGCCACTCATACAATCCAGAAGTCCAAGGCTGTCCAGTCCTCAGCTCTTCGATGACAACCGTAGCTGGAGGATCTTGATGAATCTTGTCTTGAATGTTTGCTGGGCTCTGAACACGATTAATGGCTGCTTGCTGATCTGATTGCTGCATTGTCCCGTCAACCTCCCAAGTTTCAGGCCTGTTCAAATGGCTGTTTGAACCCAATGGAGCTGAAAGGTCCTGATTCACAATGGTTACAGCTTCTGAAGCCTGATCAGGTTGCTGCACCCCTCTAACAAGCTTACGGAATAGAAGACTTTTAATCTGATCAGTTACCACAGAAACATAACCTTCACTGATCCCAATTACAGTCGTTTCCATTATCACAGCTGGTTTATATGAGAAATGTTGTGGGTTTATAACCTAATGACTTTCTCAAGTATAAATCACTTTGTATTTGTCAAACACCTTTAAGGGAATGAACAGATAGGGAAGCATTAAAAAGTGTTTGAAATCTGAGATGGAAAAATTGCCCGCGTCTGTTTTATTATTCATATAAAGTTGAAGTTCAAGTACTCTGAAACCTGCAGTAGTCAATGAAAACATAAACATCAAGCACATAACGTCAAATGCTAGGAACAATTCTAAGCACATGATTGAAAAGGAAAATAGCTTTGCATAGTTGACATTGGACGACCACTTTCATTGAAATCAGTCGATGTTGAACTCCTGTAGAGACCATCAACCAATCCCGGATCATCGAGGCTTAGCTGTCAGAAACTAGTTCTTTGGGTCTATTTGTCGTTATTCATTATTCGGAATATTTTGATGTATGTTGGCTATTTCGGAAACTATTGGGGGTTATTCTGTTAGATTAATTATTCGGGTAGTTAGAGAGAATTAGTCGGATTATATATATTCTGTGTTAGGAGAAGGAGAGGTGAGACAATAACACAAGAATTATTCTCGAAGTCTACTTCTCTCTCAACCCTAGCCGAACCCCTCTCCCTCACCTCCTAGCCATCGGCCATTCCCTTCCTGGGAGCCGACCTCTGCTTCTCTCTCACCTAAATTCCAGTTCTTCCTCATCCAAATCCTCAATTCTCATATGAATCCTAAACCCTAAATCGCACACCTAAACCCATGTTCTTTCATTAACTTACAACTTGGTTATCGAAGTATTTCGTATAACCAATCATTTCAACAGCAATGCCACATATCGTTCTTCATCAAACAATTCTCACATGCTTGTCCAACAAGCGTATTTGATTCAAACAACCACCAAACCAGAGGAAGATAGAAGGTTCAACTCAGTTATGTTTGCGTTTGTTGACTAGAATATCAACACAAAAATATTATTTTAGGATAATCTAGATGATGCCATTAAATTCAATATAAAAATGTTTTTTATTGATAATCTAGATGGTGTCATTAAATTCAAATGTAGAAAGTACAAAGGCGAGAGCTTTCAAACTATGGAAGTATTGGCTAATCTCAGTTGAATGAATTTCAACATTGACACAAAGCTAGAGGACTAATACTGAGGTGCAAAAGGGGAAAAAACGGTTGGAAATTCCTACAATACTTTGAAGTTATTGTAACTCGATGTTTTTGACCTACTATAACAGGTTTTATAAGTCGCATTACGTAAAATACATTAGGCATTATGTAAAGGTTACGAATGTGTGTTTATCTTACGTAATAGTTGAAAAATGTCATTACGGAAACCTTACGTAATAGACACTCATTTTACGTAATGAATATTAACCTTTCGTTACGTAATCTGTTAAATCATTACGGAAGACTTACGTAACGCTTCTAATCTAACTGTTACGTAAGAAATAACTATCGTTCCGTAATCTTTACGTAATAGATGCATACTTTGCGTAACAGTTGTAAAGTGTCATTAGAGAAGCCTTACATAATGAATGGTCCTTTTACGTAATGAATATTAATCAAGTTACGTAATGTGGTAAGTCATTACGGAAGTCTTACATAACATATCAAATGTAACTGTTACGTAAGAAATAACCTTCGTCCGTAACCTTTACGTAATGAGTGTGTATTATATGTAATAGTTGTAAAATCATTACGAAAGCCTTATGTAATAGACGATGCTTGTACGTAATAAATATTAATATAGCGTTACGTAAAATGATAAGTCGTTACAGAAACCTTTCGTAACGCTTCAAGTTTAACTGTTACGTAAGACTAACAAGCATTACGTAATTGTTACGTAATAAACATTAGATTTACCTAATACGACCTGTAATATCTACTATAGCAGGTCAAAAAGTTCAAGTTATAGTAACTTCAAAGCATGGTAGGAGATCCCTAACATGTAAAATATATATTCCACATTTTTGTAGTCAGAGCCGACCAATAAATATTGGAGGCCCTGTTCTAAAAACGAGAATGTGGCCCTTTTTTTATAAAAGAAAAATTATTAACATTAATTAAGAACTAAAATTCACAAAAAAATTATATATTGCTCCTCTTTGAGATTGAATTAATTCTTCTAAGTTTTTGTGCTTAGAGCTTCCAGATTCGAAATTTCTAGATGACATAATTAGTAGAAAAAGAAGACTAAGCTATCAAACTTCACATTATTAAGAACGCTTGAGGATGAAGAGGGATGATTGATGATCAATTATTGTTGAGTCGTTGTCCATAAAATGACAATGATTGATGATACCTGAAATAAGTAGATACTATACAAAATTGGTTGTTGAGATAATAAAAGAACCCAAACACTAACTCAATTGAAAATTAGCCCGTCTAGTATAATCACCTCAATATGTTATGAGACCTCAATTAAATGGAAGATTAGACGAATTTTAGAAAAACAAATGGAAAAACAAAGAGGAAGAAGATAAGATGAGTAGAAATAATTGTTTACCTCCTATTTATACTAACTAGCACAGGGTTCGGCCCGTTGGTCGGAAGAATTTTGTCTAGGATTATGCTATATAATAATGGATATAGTAGTCGATTTGAAATGTATGAAATTATTGTTTTCTATCTTAGTTATGCACATAACATTTTTTAAAATTGATCCAACTATGCATAATGTGTTTAGACCTCCATGAAAAGAGAACAAAAATATAATATAAGCATTACATATAATTATTGCATGAAAAAAATAAATATAACTAATTGTCATTCATTACTTAATTAAACTATATAGTTGAATATTAGAGTTGTTTCTCATAATACATACATAATCAACCTTTAGGATGAAATAAAATGTCTCATAGAGTTTAGTATGTTCTTTAAGTTTTTCCCAATAGAGATCATTTTTTTTACCACATTGTTGGTAATGAATCTGAAGTTGCTTGATTTGAAATATATCGGACATGATGTGACTAAGCTGTCGCTAATAGTTAGTTGGACAATGTGTTGTGTACGGACTTCCCAAATTATTCTCAGATCGCAGACATGTCTAGCAACAATGTAGTAATTTTCATGCAACAAATATTTTTTTCATGAAATAATTCAATAAATAAAAAATTATGAAAATAATATTACATGAAATATATGTTACTCATTAAATTGATGAATGAGTGAGGGTTTGAGTAACATACATTTATTTTAAAAAGATAGAAGTTGCAAAGTGTCTTTTGGATTGCATGAGATTGCATATTCTCATTATCCCTAACCGACTTATGATTTTTTGCAACAGATAGTTCAAAATGTGTCTTAAAACTTTTGTTTCTACCAGTGTAAAAGAATTTTTTGCACCAAAGGATTGTAAAATTTTTTTTAGCAATATCGAAAAAGTTGGTAGCGGAGTATTTTATACTGAAGTCATAATTTAACTATGTTTCATATTGCTAAATATCACCTATCGATTTAGCCTATAATGTGAAGTTTTATGGTCTAACCGCCGGTACGTACGATCTTTCAATACAAACTTTAAATAAAAAATCGCTAAAATATTGACACTATCAAATATCCCTTAAATCTCATAAATTACAATAATCGTATTAAGGAAAAAAAATCTTCCAAATGATAATATTGATTTAGGATTTTAAATTGAAATGGAAAAAATATGTCAAACATAATGTCATGCACTAAAATAAATCAAAACTCAACAGAATATGACCAAGAATATCCATTAATCAAAGCAGAAGGTCAATTATTTCACACAACATATATCATTTTCCTCCTCTTTTACATGTGTCCTCTCACTCTCTCTTTTCCTTGCTCTTTGTTTTTCCATTTGTTATCTCATCTCTCTCTTAGATTTGTATCTCACAACTCTCCCATTTTCCCTTTCTCTTTCTTCCCACCGGTTGGAATCGAGAGAAACCTAGAAACATCCCAATTACTTCTTCAATTTTGCGTTCGAAATGTTTTTTCCATTCACAGTCGATAGTGCGAATCAGAGCTCCTAAAACCTAACGAATAGATGGTCATTTATTTATGGGTTAATACCTCAGTTTGGCCCGAAGTATAGACAAAGTTTCTACTTTGGCCCGTGGTATCGGAAATTACTATTCTGTCCTAAACTATGTAGCATACTTTCTTATTTGGCCCGGAGGCGGGTTTGACCGTCAAATTAGACGGTCAACTCGGTTGACCGTTAGCCAAAGTCCACCTCACTTGGCACGTCAGCTATCAAGGTAAAAAAATTATTTTTTGAATTTTTGAGTTTTGTTTACTTTCTAAAATTAAATAAAAATAATTTGGGGAGCTTTTTAAATTATTTTTTTCGTTTATTATTTTTATTATTAGAAAGTAAACAAAATTCAAAATACAAAATTAATTTTTTATTCCCTAATAGCTGATGTGGCAAGTGAGGTGGACCTTGACTAACGGTCAAACCCGCCTCCGGGCCAAATAAGAAAGTATGCTACATAGTTTAGGCCAAAATAGCAATTACCGATACCACAGGCTAAAGTAGAAACTTTGTCTATAGTTCGGGCCAAACTAAGGTATTAACCCTTTATTTATTGACGGAGCAAAGTAGTTTGCTAGGTTATGAATAAACTAATTATTAAAAGTGATAAAAAGCATAACTCGTTAAACCAATCGAGTGAGTGTACAGTTATTTCATCGCTTAAAGCCTTAAACCATTGTATTTATCTAAAGAATCAAAATGCATAATCTGGTTCATCTTCACTTTACATGTATTTGTTGTACAAATTCATCACACATAAAAATGGTTTTGAACCGACGCCATATCAAACTAAATCTCATCTTATGATTATTTGATCCATGTCAGATTTGCAAAAGGTGTAAGGCTATTGGTCAACCGAGATGAAAATTAATATTAATTTAAGAATTACATATCGCTTCCAAAATTTTCAATACTCCAATTCAATATGCAATATTCAAACAAATGATATATGAGTTTGAACCCTTTCTCAAATTTTTTAGACAAAAAAAAATCTCTCCCCCCCCCCCCACCCACCACACACACACATTTGCAAAGAAATATTAAATCCCTATTTCTTCTTCACTTTACTTGCTTCTAAAATTATTGTTGACGTTGTTTGTTATTACTGCAAGCTATAAAAAAGACTTTTCAGCTATGAAGTTAACCAAGAATGATTTTATAAATGAATTTTTAGTTGTATACATTGAAAAATGTTCGAGTCTCAAAATAAACAATGAATGTATTTTATAAACATTTTAGAATATGAGCCGTCACACGTTAATGCGAGAAACTACTCATTAATTAAAATTGTATATGTTATTTTTAGAATATTTTGTTTTATTTTTATCAAATGACGCATTTCTCCAAAAGCATGAGTTCACCAATATAGACTGTGTGGTGCTCACACTTGTGCGCGAGCCCTTGAAGTTTAAGTCTGGTACGACCCATGAAGCATTCATGTTTGTACATGCTCAATCCATATACATTGTCTTCATGATATGCTCTAACTGTGTCGTGCTAGCTAAATCATGTGGCTAGGTACAGTTATATGCATTATAATAATTAAGTTTCTACCTATTCACAACACCAAGATAAAAACAGTCATAAATGCACAGAGTAAGATATTTATATTTTTTCATATGAATTATATAAAAATTGTGATGATAAATATACTTTTCCTACTTTCGCTCTTGTTTCACGAAATTTGAAATAGTAAATCTTAAAACATTGAATATATCTCATAGAAAGAGCTTTTTCAACCAAGTAGGAAATGTATTTTACCTGAAATTATTATTTCTTATAGAAAGTGATTAATTGTGAATTCGAAACTCAAGTTACATTGATTCAAACATTAAATAATAAATTGTATGTGTGGTTTAGTTTAGACAAAATACATATTTATAGCCAAAATATGGATCTTTTTTACAAATATAGTAATTTTTTGTAAAAATCTACACATAATATAATCATAAATTGGGCATTATGACGAAAACAAGCTTCCTAGAATCACTCCGAGGCCACGAAATTTTAAATGAGACTCTCATTTTCTAATTTTATCATTATATTATTTATAGATTTGTCACAAAAAACTGATTATACTCGTCACCAAAGGTCCATGTTTTGGTTACACTTCTGTATTTTTTCCGAACTAAACAACACATACAATTTAATATTAATATTAGAATCAATACTACTTGAGTTCCGATTTCAGAACTAATATCTTTCTATAAAATATAAATAAATTAAGATAAAATATAAATATAGAAGCATCATCACCAAACATATTGCTAGAGTTCAATAAAAAAAATAACAAGGAATAAAATATAGCCTAGTTGGTTATAATGCTTTTTCTTCATTCAAATGACCAAGGTTCGAACTCCAATGATAACATTTTTAATATATAAACATGACCTGAGTGCAATGACAAAAATGACCTTCCTAGAATCACTCTTAGGCCACGAAATTTGAAATGAGATAATTACAACCCATGTTTTGCCTTTATGTATTCTGTAGACAAGTTGATTTTTTTTTTTGTGTTGTTGGGTTACAACGATAATGGGCTATTATGGCCTATGGGGCCTAGGGATTAATTTTCGTTTTTACTCCCGTAGACGGTTTTTGGGTTGGGTTTGGGTTTAAACCCGTGCACTATTCAGCGGGTTGGGTTTGGGTTTAGGAGTACCCGCCCACACTTATTTCGTCGCCCTACTCTCCCCAAACCCTACCTTATTTCTAATTTCATCCAATCTAACTATCACTACACTTATTCCGTGTGATTTATTTAGTGTAATTGTGATATGTTTGAATTTTCTATAATGGTGTTTTATGTATGTATAATTTGTATGGGGAAATTGATGTTTGAATTTTATTTTGATAGAAACTTGTTATTGTAAATTTTTTACCACAAAAAACCCATGGATACCCATGAACCCGCCGATACCCAGCGGATTGGGTTTTAGTTTTCCAAACTCAGTGGGTTTTACCTCGTATTTTTTGACAAATAAACCCATTGGTTTGGATTTGTGTTTGGCAACACCCGACCCAACCCGACCCATTGTCAATTGTCATTCATCCCTACCTACCATTGGGGAGTAGCAGTTTAGTTTTAAAAAAATTCACCCTTGGCCCAGTATTACTCGTGGCCCATATGAAACTAAAGGGACTAAGATAAGAAGTCCAATTGTTTATGATAAGAAGTCCAATTTCACCCTTTCTGCAGTATTACTCGTTGGAAAGGACCATTCTGACAAGTCCATTGTTGGTTTGTTTATGTTCTATTTAGGTGAGAAAGTTATCATTTTTTTAAAAGGGAATTGGTTCCATGTTGGATTGCAGTATTAGGTGTAGCACCATCTGTTCCCTCGCTTGCTGAGGTGCCAGCTTTGAAAGGTGTCTCCATTTGTTCAGGAGGTTTTCAAGAAGCACAATCTGCCCTACAACTATGCCTCGTTCTGGATGGCGAATGTCTTCACCTACAACACACTCAGAGCCGTCACGTTGCAAGCCAGGGATGTCTCCAACCCTGTGCCAAAGAATCTGGCGTGGGAAGCTCTCAACACTCATGGTTGATGACGAAGATATGGGGATCTTTGAAGATTTTTTATGGGATGTTTTCGGCTTTTGCGGCTGTATGTACTTGTTCCCCTGTGTTGGTGTGGCGTTAATTCTTGCATTTGGTTGTGTCACTTTGTACGCTAGATTTGGTTTGGTTGATGTAATGTGCTGAAGACTATTGATAGAAAATGGTCTATTTAGAGTGTGGGTGTATATAATTATAAAAAAGATATCAATATATGCACATAATATATTTATTGTATGGTTGTAGCTTGTTCTTTAACTGATTGTTTACTAATAATGTGCAATCCATGATATTTTATGCATTTTATGATTCAGAACACAAATTTTGTATATAATGTATCCCAGTTTTATGTGACAAATGAATGTTGTTGTTTCTTCTTTTCATCAGAAATGCTATTTGTGTCTGTTGAAACTTGAACATTTTGATTCAAAACAGGATGTCATCTCGCAGTACCGTGAAAGGTTTGCACACTATGCTTTATACTAACGTACATAGCTTGATAATAATAGCATGTTTGAGTTTTGATCATCTTTCAATCAATTCATGTTAGCTATTGGAGTACAGTCACTTGTGGGGATGGGACTTTTTCTTGTGACCTGACATTCCAGCCTTGCCCGACAACTACGTTGCTAAAAACACCACTTATGGAATTTTTAAAACTTACAAGGAGGGGCAGATGCAACATAATGAAATTAGCAGAAGGCAAGACATTCACGGCAGAGGTGGAGTTATGTGAACCAGGAACGCCCCTTCCCGGATCAATACATGTGACTTGCCTGTTGAACCCATTAGCATATTCTCTACCTGATGTGTAGGGAAATCAATTCCTCAAATTGTTATTTTAAGTAGCATGCTCCTATATATAGTTTGTATCCCGTTAAACCAGTAGTTCCGTGCATAAGTTAATTACGTCATCAGTTTCTCATAATTTTTTATCCATGCCGTTTATGCAATGAAGGTATTTAATTGGTTTGGTTGTCGTTGGTGTAAAATGGTTGCGTACTAATTGTGTATGAATGTACACTAACGGCAAGCTCCGTCATATAGGTACAATGGCTCTCGATAAGCGAGGGTTAAGGCTAACTCCAACGTGGTCGGCATTTATGGTATGTTCCCCATTAATGGCGATAATCGCCATTTGGGTCGCCAATTATGGGGAAGGGAATGCCGATTCCCGGAAAAATGGGGATGCGGAGATCTGGTAGCGGGGGCCACTCATTAGGAGTTTAATGGATTTTTTTATTCTTGGTAATTAATTATGGGATTAATTAGGGGGTTTAATTAAGGGATTGATTTAGGTAATTAATTATGAGATTAAGTAGGGGTTTATTTATGATAATTTATCATTTTATTTAAAAATTCGGTCTCAAAATTAGAAACTTTCTATCAGAAGATTCGTATTTAACAACGATGACAAACTATACAAAAATTAACATGAATCAAATTATATTAAGATGATAATAAGTACATTTTTTAAGTAAACAATAACTTTAAAAAAAAGGAAGATCCCCAAATTTGGGGATGGTAGCATTGGAGCGAAAATGAAGAAAATAGGGACAATCCCCAAATTTGGGGCCTTGCATTGAAGTTGGCCTAAGGTGACAGGAATTTTTGGGTTTGAATTGAATAAGGGAATTTAATTATTGTACTCAATGCGAAAGAGACGTATACTATGCTTGGGTTCGTATAGTTGGTGTGCACTGTTGATGTGCAGTACATGTATTCTTGGATACGTTTAATGTCGTCTATATGAGCTCTTTTCTGTTTTGTCTGCTTGTACTCAATGTGAAAGAGACGTATACTATGCTTGGGTCCCTATAGTTGGTGTGTTCTATTTCTGTTTTCTCATTCTAGAAATAAATTCTCTATCTATCTGACATATCCTCCTCTGTATTATCATTCCATTCTTCTTATTTGCTTCTGCTTCCTTGGTATTGCTATTATTGTCCTTGTCACAAGTGGATATGGCACCCCCAACTTGCCGATGTGGTGAAGCTGCAATCATTCGCACTTCTTGAACTGCAGCCAATCCAGGGCGTCGATTTTACGATTATAGTAATTACGGTGTAGGTGTACCCAGACATTAACTTTTCGATAGATATCAAAGCACATAGATATTCTGTATTCTTCCACTAATCGTTTGTTCATTGTCTGTAATGTGTAGGCTTTAGGATTGTGTGGCTTCTTGACTCACTCCTACGTTCACTCTAGAAAATGGCCAAGTGTAACCACTTCCTAAAGCGTAGTATAGCGGGTTTGGGTTTTATTATCAACCCGGGTCCTGATGTGATGACTACTCAGTGAATTCTTATTATCTAGCAGTGAAACTTTAGTGAAGGTCTAAACTAACAAACAAGCAAAGCAAGTAAACGGTTGTTTTCAAGTCAAGAGAGGTCACCCGGATATGGTTCCCCCTAGACTGCAGTTAAACCGGATTGTAATTTACCAAGTACAGTTTCTATGATAGTTATACTGCGGAAGGTTCTTAAACAGCCTGAAGTCTCGACTAAAGGTCTCCAGACCCTCTCAATCTGAGTCTCCAGCGGGCGACTAACCTCCACCAGAGTAAACAGATTGAGGCCCTAACGAACAAAACCTCCACTACCGAAGTGAATTCGGTACAGAATAGTGAGTTGGCTCCTCGACTAAAGTCACCAACTCCCTACCTTCAATCAAGGGTGCTCTATCAACCTAGGAAGATATTCTCTTTCTAGGTTAAAGCAGAAACAACAGGAATTTGATAAAGATTCAAGTCATTCAATCATTCAAGCCTCAATTGAATATAATCAAATCATAAAATCTGTACTTGGGTTTATACAATCAGACCTAACGTACAAATCTAGGGTTCTCCATACCCAGATGAATGGGAAAACTACTCCATGGAGAGAGAAGTAAAAGCAGATTCAGATGCGGAAACCATACTGTGAAGGATGGGTTTCTGCTCCTGGTCGTCAATCGGCACTTCTCCAAGCTCAAGCCGGGCTCCAATGGTGATGAAGATCAAGCTAGGGAACTTGGGAACTCTGGTTCGCCGCTTTCTCTCTCTAGGAATCGCTCTGTCTCTCTAAAACTCGAAACACCCCTATTTTGGCCTTATTTTCCCTTAAAAAGTTGCATGTCGCGATCCCCGGTCGAAATACCCTGTCGGGTATTTTGGGTGTCGACCGGGTATATTCAAAACGCGTGTTTACGACCAGGGGAAAATCCCCGGTCTGCTCTAATAATCCCCGACCGGGGATTTATGCTTCACGGCCGGGACCCCCCCTGTTCCTCATACGCAAAAAGCACTTTTCCCCGGTCCTCTCAAAATAATACCCGGCCTGGTATTTCTGGTCATGGCCGGGTATTTTCTCCTCCAACACACTTCGACCCAAACGTGCTCCTTTCGACCCAAAACTCGTTTCTTCGCCTCGATTCCAACGTCGAGCCCTGAAATATGACATAAACCAAAACCAACTTGACTCACTCCTACTGTCACTCTAGAAAATGGTCAAGTGTAACCACTTCCTAAAGCGTAGTATAGCAGGTTTGGGTTTTATTATCAACCTGGGTCCTAGATGTAATGACTACTCAGTGAATTCTTATTATCTAGCAGTGAAACTTTAGTGAAGGTCTAAACTAACAAACAAGCAAAGCAAGTAAACAGATGTTTTCAAGTCAAGAGAGGTCACCCGGATATGGTTCCCCGTAGACTGCAGTTAAGCCGGATTGTAATTTACCAAGTTCAGTTTCTATGATAGTTATATTGCGGAAGGTTCTTAAACAGCCTGAAGTCTCGACTAAAGGTCTCCAGACCCTCTCAATCTGAGTCTCCAGCGGAGTAAACATATTGAGGCCCTAACGAACAAAACCTCCACTACCAAAGTGAATTCGGTGCAGAATAGTGAGTTGGCTCCTCGACTAAAGTCACCAACTCCCTACCTTCAATCAAGGGTGCTCTATCAAGCTAGGCAGATATTCTCTTTCTAGGTTAAAGCAGAAACAACAGGAATTTGATTAGGATTCAATTCATTCAATCATTCAAGCCTCAATTGAATATAATCAAATCATAAAATCTGTACTTGGGTTCATACAATCAGACCTAACATACAAATCTAGGGTTCTCCATACCCAGATGAATGGGAAAACTACTCCATGGAGAGAGAAGTAAAAGCAGATTCGGATGCGTAAACCGTACTGTGAAGGATGGGTTTCTACTCCTGGTCGTCAATCGTCACTTCTCCAAGCTCAAGCCGAGCTCCAATGGTGATGAAGATCAAGCTAGGGCACTTGGGAACTCTAATTCGTCGCTTTCTCTCTCTAGGAATCGCTTTGTCTCTCTAAAACTAGGAACCCCCCTATTTTGGCCTTCTTTTCCCTTAAAAAGCTGCCTGTCGCGATCCCCGGTCGAAATACCCGGTCGGGTATTTTGGGTGTCGACCGGGTATATTCAAAACGCACGTTTAGGACCAGGGGAAAATCCCCGGTCTGCTCTAATAATCCCCGATCGGGGATTTATGCTTCACGACCGGGACCCCCTGTTCCTTAGACGCAACTCTCCAGACCTCTATAGCAACAAACAATCCCGATCGTAGGTAGAGGATATTCTAGATCATATAGCAGCTTACGAGGTCAACTATTCTTCTAAGACGTTCCCTATCTCTCTCAATGCGAGTACTAGACTCAAGCCAGGATCATGAGAAGCAGTGGAAGTAAGACAGTCAGTTCATGGATAAAGGGACTCATACAATTCACAACCAAGGACTCGTTGTACCGGGGTGTTCTTTCACTTCATTTCACCGTTGGAACCCGTTTTTGCACTTTCATTCACATTTTTCTTGTTTTTTTTTTCTTCTTTCACTTAGCAGGGGTTCCAACTGCAGTCTTTTGCACGGTCGACCCTTATTAGTCGAGCAAGAGCAATTTTTGTACACCTGGCGCTCGCCAGGGTACTTCTTTTAACTCCTTTTCCTCAACTCGTGTGGAGGGTCAATGAAATTAAGGGGGGTCGGAAGCTCTATCCGTGCCCTTAAAAACACATCCTCAAGTAGGCAAACCGTTCAACGGGTGGAAGTTTTACTTGTACTAGAGACAGCTTAGCTTCACCTTGTAGGAGTACCCCACTAAGGATCACTAAAATCTCCTCCAAAACCCGATTTTGTGCAATGAACGGTGCCACAAAC